CTTTTCTCCTCGCACACAGTGTTGACAAAAGACAATTAAACGCAGTTTGCCTACACTATTGATCATGTCCCCCTGATAGGCAGAGCAGAACCACAGCACCTGTATTCATTACACAACGTGTTTAGCAGCCATGTGGCGGAAGGAGAAGTCAGCTCTGTTTGTGAAATGAAGCGCCACAGGCCAAGAAACACCTGCAAGATTGCACGCAAACTTGTCGATGGAGCATGATGGAAGGAAGGAACGGGGAGGAGAGGAAGGGAGAAATGGCTAAGGACCTTGTCTTTAGGAAAATGGAGAGGGGCAAAGAAGAGAAAGAAGCGGTGTTAAAGCAAAAACACAAAACATTACTGTAAACTGGGTGTGCTTATTGCAACAGTAACTTGAATGAGACAGAGGTTATTTATTGCTTTATTGCTTTATAAACACTTGTTCCCTTTTGAAGCTTGAGGGTAAAATGTTAACAAGTTTGACTTCCCTCCCCTGTGAAATTAAAAACGCTTTGGCAAGCCAAATCATTCTATGAATATTAAACAGACACAGCATATAGAGGATAAATCTGTTTTGATAAACTTGTTTTATTTAGGAAGAATGAAGCGATTACTTTAACCTATACCTTACCTACTTTACATTCTACCAAGGGGGGCTGTCACTGCTTTGTTTCACCCTTCAGTGCTAACACATTCAAAAAACCTCAGTGAAAATGGGTCATTTTCCAGCAGACAAACTATAAATGGCAGCTCAAGTAGAAATGATCCCATAAATAGTTAGGGTTTTAAAATGCAATCTTTCAGACCCACTTAAGTGGTTATGTATGTACTTAACTATTATGCACCAATCTACATGTACTAGAGCTCAATCCTCTGCAGTATTTTGAAGCACCATACAACATGTTTTATAAACTTTCAATGAGTAAAGAAATAATTTGCAGAGTTTAGAAATGCCAAAATATCTACCCACACTTCAAAGCTGCAAAAAGTGCTCAAAGACATCTGTTAAAACCTGAAACCTGATTGAGAGCTTGTTGCATGGCCTGCTTTCCTACTGGTCTACTTCTTTAATGGATTTGACCTGACACTGAATTACTGGACATTGCCTCAGATGGGGCAGCATCAGCAGTGATGCGGACATTGTTCCAGACCATTGTAGTGAAGGAGCTGAGCCCAAAGGCAAAGCTGTCATTTCACCAGTCACTCTATGCTCCAACCCTCATCTATGGTCATGAGCTGTGGGTACTGACCAAAAGAATACTGTAAGCTTGCAAATATAAGCAGTAGAAATGAGTTCTCTTTGCAGGGTGGCCAAACTTACCTTTAGACATAGGGTATGGAGTTCAGACATCCAGAAAGAACTTTGAGTAGAAGTACTGCTCCTTAACATCGAAAGGAACCAGTTGAGATGGTTTGGCATTTTATTAGGATGTCTCCAGGGCACCTCCCTTTGGAGGTCTTCCAGACATGTCCAAATAGTAGGAGACCCTGGGGCAGACACAGAACATGCTGGAGAGATTATATATCTCATCTGGTTTGGGTATGCTTCAGAATCCCCGCCAGACAGAGTTGCCAGGGAGAGGGACGCCTGGACTACCTTGCTGAACCTGCTGCAACTGTGAAACAAACCCGGATAAGCAGATGATAATGGATGGATGCCTCAGAAGGCAAAAAGAGAAAAAGCAGCATGATCCCAGTTGACCTCATATAATTTCCAAATCTAAGGGAAGTGTGCGAGTATACAAATGAGAACAAGATAAATGACTAAGTGTAAAAGCTCTGACATGAGGGAGAGTTCTGTCTGCCCTGTCTTCTCTAGTGTCATCTAGCAAATGTGACCTAGACCTGCTGCTACAGCTGAGAACATCTCCAGGGACTGCAAAGTTCAAACCAGAGGGAAGATGGAGATTTTCATTTGGAACTGAGTGACCTACTCATAGATGAAGGGCTGCATTGTGGATTGATTTTCGTTTTTCCAGCAGAACGTGACCTTTGTGTGCAAGTCTGGTATAAACTGAACTCTGACAAAAGGGTCAAAGAGGTAGTTGGAGTGGGATCAGTGGGAGGGGAACATTTTTCCAAGGGAAAAACAGACTTAGAAATATATAGTTGCTTTTCTTAGGACACGTAAGTTGATGAACTGTGTCATGTACTGTAAAGGCCAATAAGAACTCTTCCTTTTGGCACGTCAGCCGATCTTGTACAGAGAGCAAATTCGGGATGTCTGTTCTCAAAGGTGGCGTGAAAAGTGGGTAGTGATAAAGAGGGGAAAGATGTGATAATTAAAATGCTACATTCATTTGTACATGTGAAAAGTATACATGGAATTTCAAACCTACTTTTCTCAGTGGGATAAATGAATGTCAAAAATTTAGAGAAATTGAAGCCCCCAGCTCCAAATTGGAATGGTGCAGGATGTGGGTGTGTTGGAATTTATTATTATAGTTATCCATTCCTCTAATGCAAATGAGAAAGAATAAATGAACCTTCTCCAATGATGTTTTTTGTGATTTTATTATAAAGAAAGGATAACTATCTCAACTGCGAGGACAAAGGTCGAAGCTCTCACATGGAGACATCAGTCAGACCAAGAACCCATTATTCACACACAATATTTAAGTATCGCATTCAAAGCCAGGTGGGCAGTTCTCTCTCATGGGAATACAAGGGAGTCAGGGAAAGTCAGAGACAGGGCAAGATAACAAAATGAAGGCAATCAGACCTCATCTAGCTACAAGCGAAATAACAAGCTGTTTCCCCAGATTTAAGTCTCCCTCAAGGCATATTAGTACAAACATAGAAACTTCATAGGAATGAATATAAGGATGAGTGTATGAAGATAATATAAGGATAAATTTGACATCACAGCGGGGGTTTCCAAGACTGTTCGGCCATCTGACAAACGCTATCCTACCTACCTTTGTTCTCTCCAATATAATAATGTTCAAGGGAAACTCAAAAACATACAAGCTGAAAAATCACCTACAGATGTTACAGACTGTTCATGCATGTTGATTCTCTCATCACAATGGGCAGCTTGAGTCTTGCTTAGGCAATTTATGCATTATGCAATGTTTAATAGTACACTTGCTCTCCTAAAGTGAACATCCTGTAAAGGCTCAGGTCACAGTGCCTTAAAAAAAATCCACTAATGTGGAATTTGCCCTATTTTACCAAAGTAAGATTTCTTCACTATGGTATTGTGCTGACACAGTGGAGCAAAGAGGTAACCCAAATAGTAGAACGGTCATGGATCAGTAACACAATAATCCTTGAAAAAAAATCCACATTATACTGCCTTGTACTTGGTCTTAGCTCCTTGACACCCAGAATAAGTACCAAGTTTCCCTCCTTCTATGGGCAAGGCTGATTGTTAATTACCCTTTTATTTGTCAGCAGAAGACATGCAAGAGGCATGCGGTATGAGAGCATATACAGGCTTACGAATTTAAAGGTTTGTAATTGAGCAGCGATTTCTATATATCATATTTCAATTTTAAACTGACTTATAAGGGTGGGTATATTGATAAGGTTGCCATGTAGTATATCACTGTCTTACCTGACCCCTCTGGGTGAGGCAGAAAGGTTCCCATATTGGTTTCCAATAAAATGCATCAGAATTTACTCAGAAGTGGATATATATGTTGATAAAATGCTTGACCCTGGGATAGGACTTAATAGACAGAGAACTCTCTTCCATTACTTACTGTTACTCTTTTTAAAAAGAGGCCTTTGATATCTATTATAAGTCATTTGCCTATTTGAGTATTTCCCACTTTACAAAAGTGGTGCTGTATTGAGTATGCACATGGTAAAAGGCCATAAGTCACTGAGTGTGACTCAGCACTGGCTGAATGATGTCACGTTTATTCATTTGCATAGTTCTGTGCAGTGCTGCTTTGAAGTGTAAATATAGATTTTTAACTAGACATCGTGGAGCCATACTGTACAGTACATCTTTATTTCACTTTAAAGCCTCCTAAGATAGTCTCCCCTCTCTAGACTCCTCTTTAGAGGTCAGTTTATAAGTAACTTTCCTGTGGCATTCATCACATGCCTTAGTCATCTGAGACACATCGGCATAAAACTTTAATTATCTGTTACAAAATCAGATTGTAAATTATCTCTCTAGTTGGGACAGTTATTGCATTGTCTGCTCTTTGCCAACAAGCACAAAAACAACTGCAATGCAAACAGTTCGGACATTTAATTCTCAGGATATACAGTGGCACCTGTCACTTTACAGATCCATAACAAAGACCCTCTTTCAGGCTGGGCAGCTTTAAGTGCTCTAATATTTGGTTTGGGATACCATCTCTATTGACACATACCAGCTGGGTTTCAGGACTGTTACAGTAGGTGGATCAGACAGCAACTCCCACATAATATCTTTCTTATCTCTAGTTCCACCTTTTCTTACAGTGTGTGTTGCTAAGTGTGAGGGGAGTTCGAAACATAGTTCCAGTTTGCAAAAGCAGTGATCATGTTGCCTTTGACTACATGCAGTATTCAAATTTCCCATCTTATGGGCTTCAAAACCATTAAAACTTTACTTCTTGGTTTCTCTAAACTTTCAAAGTCATGCTTAAAAATATCCTAAGTGTCTTTTATTTTATGGAAATAAAACTGTTCTATTTGTTGACCAATCAGTTTACTAATTGGCCATTTTTACTGTTCCCCTTAACCCTACCAAGCACAACTTTATATCAAAGTGAGAAATCAACAAATTCGTCGGAATGTCTTGTCATATGTCGCCTGGACTCTTTTTTTTTTAATTGTGTTCATTTACCTTGATCTCACCACATTTTATGATCTAACACTAAACCCTGACCCTGTCTATCATCATCATTTATTGCTGTGTCACAATATTTTTACACCCCACATGCAGTCCAAGCACTTTTGTGCCTTCCTGTCCTCCACCTTTCTCTCCACCCACTTGCCATGTTACACAGTTAGGTGGGGAGTTATAAATGCCTGCAACTCTCTTCTGAGTGACACAAGAGGATCCACGTCTCTGTGTTGGCAGTTAAAGGGTCATATATTGTAAGCTGTGCTTCTACAAAAGTTACTGCTCATTCATTCTTCAACTCATCAAAAAGAGTATTAGCAACAGAAGAGCGGCTGAGAGGCTGCTGTTATGGGATCAGCCATGCTCGGAGGCATCCACACAGATTTGTTGATCTCAGTGACTCTACTCTTTGTAATTCAGTGCAGGTGGGTCTCAAGATAATCCAAGTTCTGAATGAATTCATCAAATCTGAGCTGATGATCTTTTAAATTTTGTTCTACTGTACTGCTCATGTTAATTTCACAAAGTGAAACATAAAGGAACTTAGCGTTCAAGTTTTGTTTTTAAGTCGGTCAGAGATTTCATGTATTTTTGGCATAACTGTTTTTCAGTGAATCTACTGTTTTACTGTTTCAGGGCTGGAAATAACTTTTCATCTGTTACTTTACCAAACTGGGAAACAAATTCAGGTATGAAGTATTACATTTACTAAAACCTCTAGATAATCCATGTAAATTGCTTGAATATAACTTTGTCAGTTTATCACAAGCACTGGGATTTAAATAAATATAATAATTGTACAGAGACATACAGTACAAACCATGCATGATGCTATACACAACCCTATTTTTTTCCTTTCACAGACTATATTACAGTGTGCTTTGACAACAGCCACACCAATATGATTTGTAACTGGACAAGGAGCCAACAAACAGGTACAAAAGAAAACAGACTGTGCAAAAGTATTGCAACTAAATATAGTAGTGAAATTACATACCAAATATGTAAGCCATCAAGTCAGGTTACAGTTTGGTTATGAGTTCACTTTGACACAAAGCGATTACTTGAGTATAGTGAACACTCCTCAGTTGTGTTTTAATCTACAGACAGGCTGTGAGTGTGTCCGTGCCTCAGTGCAGGCTAATAATGTTTTACATCCTGGTGTTGTCCCAGGAGCAATCAAGGTAGACGGGCTGCACTCGGGATTCAAATTTAGTACAAAAACACTCTAAACAGCTATTTTGCTTTTAATGATTATTGCACCATAACAGATGCGGGTCTATTACAATAACAAAGGCAAGAAAATTGTTTCCTGTTTTTGGTGCAAAATTATGATAAAACATACAGGCTCACCTAACCTGAATAATTAATAATGATTTCTTTATTTACACTGTGTGATTTTAAAATGAATGTCAGATCAGTGAATTTGTAATTTACAAATAAATGAAAATGGTTGATATCTGTGACAACTCTAAAAACATCTAGCGTATTACTTTTTCTTACTGTGCGTTTCATCTCCAGTGGATGTTACAGTGATCGGGTTAGAGAGTGGTCCACTGGAGATAGAGGGCGAGGCCTGTCTAGAGTTCTGGTACCTGGCCCCAGTAGCAGCTAATGGGTCAGAACTTCAAGCTCTGCTCAAAACCACTGCTGGTCTGGCAGAAATATGGACCTCGCCTACCCTCCCCAGAAACTCATGGACACAAGTGTTTGTCCCCCTCCACATCATCGAACCCGAGACTAAGGTAAAATGACATACAGTATATTACCACCGGTCTGTAATTAGACTGTATTACAAAATTAAAATGGAATATTTAATATATTTAAATAGATTATCTGCTTTCACAATAGGTTGTACTTGAAGCAGTGTCCATAGAGGAACAGGTCACATTTAAACATATAGGTGTAAGAAGAGGCTCATGTGGTGAGTATTCTTTTACAAACAGCCTGCTTTTGTCCCATCAATTATTGAAAAAAAATGCAGCACATACCGTATGCAATACATAAGTCACTGTGGTCGTAACACCATCATTGAAACAGCAAAAATTCTATAACAGAACACGCTTGAAAGCTAAAGATTGTTTCATCTATTATGTGTCGCAATGTTAGCAAGGTCATTTTTTAAAATTAAATTAAGAAAACATTATTCATAGTATCACTTACATGATTAATAGGTTGGATAATAGGATAATTAAGAAAATGTTCTATAGTCCAAACAACATTAACACTGAATATAATAACTCATTCATTGCACTTATCAGTTCTTCCTAAACAGATGGTGTTGTGGTTATAAATTGTTTATTTGGCCAATCCCCTACAGGACCCCAGTGTGAATCTAACACAGAGTTCTGGACAGATGAGTTCACCCGCTGCCTCTGTTCTGCTGGCCAGCTCTCCTGCTCTCCCGCTCAGTGCCCTAGGGGCCAAATTTGTCCTCCTCAAAGAGGAAACTCCAGTGGGAGTTCCACCTCGGGGACGTGCACTATACAAAGTCACACAGACTTTAGCACTTTTGATGGAGTGCTGTTTCGCTTCATCTCCCCCTGCACCTTCGTACTATCTAAGACCTGCTCACCCACGGAGACCCTGCCCATGTTCAGTGTACAAGTAGTCAATAAGCATAGCAGGAACTCAACTCTGCCAACTGTCCAGAAGGTCACTGTGAACATAGGGAACTTCAGGGTGTCCCTGCTGAAAAGGCAGACACACCGAGTTGTGGTGAGTTATTTTAACCCTTCAAGAAATTTAGAAAGGATCAGATACTGTGATCCATTGTTATTCTTGACAGCATTTGCCAGTGCACAAACTGTTCTCCCAAAAGCCTAAGTGTTATGCTGTCTTACAAAGGGAGACCAGTTTTGTCTAATAAAAATGTATTTCTGAGACTTTGCAGGCCAAGGCACCCTCAAGCATTGAACTCATATGCCAGTATTCCTATTCCCTATATCACATTGCTTCCTAGACTTCATAATACCTAGGTACTGTCTGTACAACTTCAGCTTTTATTTCTTTTGGCACCTTGTCATTATGCTGTAATGAGTACTGAGCTATGAAGTGTAGTGGATCAAGCCGTTCCCATATCTGCAGCCCCATTCTACTGATAAACTGACTGATTGATAAGTGCAGAATTTATTGGCAAAATGTCCTGGAATTTCTAGAGGACTAATTGGCCTTATTAGCTGGAAGGTACTGTGTGTCTTTCTTCAGAATGCTGCTTTTTATGAAAACTGTTAGATACAGTCAATATTACTGATAAGAATCGCTAAAGAATTCAAAAACATACTTTTCTGCAGGTTAATGGGATCTGGAAGAAGCTTCCGCTGAGCCTCAGCAATGCCGCTGTCAACATCAAGAGCAACCCCGCTGCTGTTCTACTGGGAACCAGTTTTGGGCTTTCTGTCTCATATGACAACACTGGTTCTGTCCATGTCACCTTGCCATCCGCATACTCTGATAAAGTCTGCGGTTTATGTGGCAACTTTAACTACCTCAGAGAAGATGACTTCCGCAAGCTGGATGGTACAAATGCCCAAGATGCTACAGCTCTGGCTGAGAGCTGGCAGACTGGGGAAACAACATCCCCCTGTGAAACCATTCTAGTCCCTCAAGAGTGTGACCCAATGGAGAGGGTCCAGTATGGCAATGAGTCATACTGTGGAGTCCTCCTGTCTAGTACTGGGCCCTTTGCTGACTGCCATTCAGTTCTAGAGGCAGAGAGCTACTTCAGGAGCTGTATGGTCAGCATGTGCTCTACTCATGATGACCAAGTAGTGCTGTGTGAGATACTACAGGCCTATGCTGATATCTGCCAGGAGGCTGGAGTCACTTTACCCATATGGAGGAACTCCACCTTCTGTTGTATGTTGCTTTAATTTGTCTTTCTCCTGTTAATGAAACTGTGGAAACATGCGCAAATGATGGCCATAATAATATACAGTAGAATTAAGATCATGTCCTCTGCTCTTTCCTCTTATCTTTTATGCCCCCTCAGCCCCTCAGTGTGGTGAAAACAGCCATTATACAAACTTATGTGCTGATGGCTGTCCCGAGGTGTGCTCCATTCTGGACATACCTCGGTCCTGTGCAAGCTGTGAGGAAAGATGCGAGTGTGATCCTGGTTTCAAACTCAGTGGGAGAAGGTGTGTCCCAGCAGATGACTGTGGGTGCTGGTATAATGGAAAACACTATGAGGTAAGTGAGGTATTTTAATGGAAAAAATCCCACTAATATTCACTTATACAGTGCTATCACTTATTCACAAAACTCTCTTTTTCTTGCAGAAAGGAGCAAGAGTTATGGAAGGAGCGTGTGTTCAGCAGTGTCAGTGCATGGGTAATAATAATATGTGGTGCACTGCGATACAATGTGCAGACAATGAGGTTTGTAAGGACAAAGATGGGGTCAAAGGCTGCTTTGCTTTCAAGCCTGCCACCTGTAGTGTGTACGGTGATCCACACTACATTACCTTTGACAAATTGGCTTATGACTTTCAAGGGGATTGCAGTTACATACTGACTACAACATGTGGAAGTGAAAGTTCAGCCCAGTTCACTGTGATCGGACACAATGGGCATCCTCTCCTTCAGAACTTCACCCGATCCAAGCTAGAAGCGGTGACTCTGCGAGTTGAAGATTTGTATCTCACTCTGAATCAAAATGGAGATGTCTATGTAAGCATAAAAACTTGTAATTTCTATATGTAGAGTTAACAATCCCAACTGCAATTCTTAATGTAACAAACAAAAATGAGAACAGCTTTCAGTCCATGAAGTGTCTGATGGCCTGCAAGTGGCCCATTTACTGGATTTAGTGTGTCCTTGTTCAATATGTTATATTCATGACGGTAGCTAATGACTTTAGTATCAGCGTGCCCATGTTTATTGGGTCAGTTACTATGCCAGCATAGAGGAAGCCACTTGTTTATCATTAAGTGGTTAAAGGAATACACAAACTAATAGCTGACCTTCTTGACTTTTAGAGCAGCTTTGCAGCTAACTGTTGCACGATAGAAAAACAGAGCTCTGTTCTCTTGTTATCGAGGCATTAAAGATAAACTAATTTCTCACTAGAGCACTCATTACACATAATGAATTGTCCTCTCTTTAGGTAAATAACAGCTTTGCCCAACTCCCCTATTCCATCAGTGGAACATACGGCTCAGTATGGATTTCCACAAACAACAATTATATAATCTTGAAGACATCCTTCGGCCTCCGAATGATGATGGATGGGCAGAACAGACTCTTCCTGCAGGTGGACGAGCACTACAAGTATCAACTGTGTGGATTGTGTGGCACCTACTCTGGCCACCAGGGTGATGACTTCATAACACCAGAAGGTCAAAACGTCACAGAGGCATTTGAGTTTGGTGACAGTTGGAGGGTGCCAGACAACAATGAGTGAGTAATTTTATTCTATAAGGTAATCTGCACACTTGTGAACACAAATTAATGTTCTGACATTATAATGCCACCAAAAATATTCTGAAGTGGGACCACAAATCAAAGTGTTTGGACCTCTATGTCTAAACTTTCTCTTCCAGGTGCATTGCCTATCCAATTGATCCGAGGCTATGTGATCATACCGAAATGAACGAGGCCAATAAACAGTGTTACACACTACTGGGGGATGCATTCAGCTCCTGCCATCAGCTCATTCACCCAAGTATCTATTTCAACAGCTGTGTGTATGACTATTGTGCCACAGAAGGTGACCAACACACCCTATGTGAATCTCTGAAGTCCTATGCAGCAGCATGCCAGGTTGCAGGAGTGGAGCTTCCCCCTTGGCAGACTGGCACAGCCTGTGGTGAGCACCTGAGTCAGGCAGGGGCAAGATGATAGTGTTAATCTGTGAGAGGATATGTGCATATGATGATACTGGTCAGTTAGTTACCAACTGTCAATTACAATTTCATGGCTCTAAATATTACATAAAGTCATTCTGTATTTTTTCTGCTCCTGCTTTCCATTGATTACACAGGACCAGCCCGAAGCATAAGCAAACTGGGCAACTGCCTAGTGCTTTGCCTGAATGTGTAGTTTGTGAATGTTTATTTAGTTTTGTTCTGTCAGTGGTATAAGCAAAGTTGGAGAAACTATTAGGCAGTAAACATGTGGAGGGGGTGGCCCAACACAAAATATTGCTTAGGGTGCCAAAAGGCTAAGGTGGTAAACTCATTTACTTTTTTGTTTGTTTTTTTGTTTATGTGCCTGTTTCAGCTGACCCGCCAACCACCGCAACTCTTCCAACAACTCCAACTCCTACCACTCCAACACCAGATCAGACTTGTAAGAGCAATCGGGGTTGGGAAGGCTGATTTCCTTACTGGCATAATTCACTATATTTTATAATCAAAAATTTAACTTAAAAACAAATATTACATTGCCTCAAAACATAAATGTATAGACATTATATATATGTGTGTGTGTGTTTTTGTATAACTTCTATTAAACTAAACTATTTTTATTTCTCAAACTGGAATTTTTCTGTAGTTAACTGGCTCGTAAAACTTCTCATTTCCATTGTGTTTATATGCTTTTTCACAGTTTGTCCCATAAATTGTGATTTTGAAAAAAATCTGTGTGGGTGGGAGCAGCTCATACAAGACAGTTTTGATTGGACAAGAAATTCAGGACCCATCTCCTCAAACCTAACTGGGCCAAACCAAGACCACACTACTGGAGGTAAAACTCTGATTCAGGCCACCTTAGCACATCTGTTGTGTTACTACGCTGGTTTTTCATGACTGGGTTTCTCATGCTTGTTCTGCTACTTTTACCATTTCTCTAGATGGTTTCTACATATACACTGACGGAAGCAGTGCAAGCCATGGAGACTCAGCACGTCTGTTGAGCTCAGTCTGCCATTACAATGGCCCAGTCTGCCTGAACTTCTGGTACAATATGTATGGTTCAGCCACAGCCATGGCCCTCAATATTTACATGCTCAAAGACAATAAAGCCACCCAGATCTGGTCCAGGAAGAACAACCAAGGACCAGAATGGTATCCAGGAAGTGTGGACATCAAAGTCCCTGGTCCATTCCAAGTAGGTTTGATATTAAACAATATATAAATTGAAATGGTGCTGTTGATTGCAAAGAACAATGATTGTATTCTATACACTGAAGAACCTTTCTAATCATTAATTTCAGATCATATTAGAGGGAATTCGAGGTTCTAATGCTCTATCAGATGTGGCAATAGATGACATTTCCATCCACTTTGGCACATGCTCAGGTGACATTCACCTCTTTCAAAATGAACAACTGGATATTATAAGGCTGACACTGTACCATGCTCATACCTGAACTCAGGGTTTAAATAAAGTCACTTATCACTTCCTATAGGTCAGGTCCCTGAAAGTGGAACTGAGTTCCCTCCAACAACTGTGGAAGTCATTTCACGCCCAGGTAACTGCACAGGAAGTTTCATTTATTGGGTTAGTTGTTTCTGCTAAAGTCTGGTTACAAATTAACATTATTAACATTGATGTCTAGTCCAATATACACCGACTCTGCAGTTCTCACAGGTAGTTCTCACAGGTCATCAAACATTTTAGGAAGTTGCACAAAAACTGCAATGTTTAGTTCATAACTTTTTTTCCAAAGGTGACAGTACAGTCTGCAGTCTCGGCTGTAACTTTGACAGCAACCTTTGTAGCTGGAATCAGATGATCACAGATGCTTTTGACTGGACATGGCAGAGTGGTTCCACTCCCACACTGATGACTGGGCCTTCTGCTGACCACACTGGTGGTAATACACTCTCTGTCTACGTAATATTTTAAATGACAAAAGGAGAATATTTTCTGGTATAAAAACATCTGTCTCACTATACAAAGTGCATCTGACAGCTGTGATCTTGTCTCTTGTCCAGGGGGCCACTACCTTTACATTGAAGCCAGCAGCGTTACATATGGAGACACGTCTCGTCTCATCAGCTCCGAGTGTTCTGACTCTGGTGCTCACTGTCTGCAGTTCTGGTACCATATGTATGGCTCAGCTGATACAATGGGCCTCCATGTATATTTGCTTCAGAACGGAGTAGCCAATGCTGTTTGGCGCAAGAGAAATGACCAAGGGGATGTGTGGCACCTGGCTCAGGTGGACATCACAGCAACAGGACCTTTCCAGGTTAATAAAGATGTTTCCTTCATAACCTGGCTCATTTAGAAACCTCCCATGCAAAACACGAATAGTGTACTACCTGCAACAACACATGGGTAGAATCGATCCTCGTGGCTTTCTATGCTGCAACAGCCATAATGTGTTTTAGTATTAACCTGTGCACTTGATTTTAGATCATTTTTGAGGGACGAAGAGGCTCCAATGATCAGTCTGATGTGGCCATAGATGATGTATCACTTCAACACGGACAGTGTGCAGGTAATCCTGTCCGACAGGCATTATTTATGCCAGTTATTCATTTGTGTTAATACATCTACATTTAAATGTAGCATCCTTATTTATTTTCCATGTAATCTAGTACATTTAGTCGAATAGACACTTTTTACTATCACAAAATTTAATAGCATTTCATTAAATTATGCTGCAGGAGGCATTACAACTAGATACAGTGGAACCTTGGATTGCGAGTATAATTCGTTCCGGCAATGTGCTCGTAATCCAAAGTACTCGTATAACAAAGCGAATTTCCCCATAAGAAATAATGGAAACACAGATGATTCGTTCCACAACCATTTATTCATATAAAAATGATTACAGTAATAGAAAAGGCAATATAAATGTAGCATCCTTGTCTATTTTCCATGTAATCCAGTACATTTAGTCAAATAAACACTTTTTACTATCACAAAATTTAATAGCATTTCATTAAATTATGCTGCAGGAGGCATTACAACTAGATATTGCGAATATGACTAATGCGACACTGTAACATACCTTAAATTATTACATTTCTGATGCGGCTAATACCTTAACATCTCTGTTTATGTTCAGACCTGATCTCAGGGTTTAAATAAAGTCACTAATCACTTCCTTCAGGTCAGGTCCCTGACTGGGATAATGGAACCGAGCTTCCTCCCACGACTGTAGAAGTCCTCCTTCCACACCCAGGTAATTACACTGGAAGTTATATTTTATGTGATAGTTGTTTCTACTGAAATCTGGTTACAAATAACATCATAAACATTTATGTCTGGTCCAATAAATAATGAACCTGCAATTCTCACATGTAACTGAAGTCATAGATATTCTAAAATGTTAGAAAGGTGCATAACAACTATAATGCTTAATGTTTCTCTATTTTTTTTCCACAGGTGACAGTACAGTCTGCAGTCTCGGCTGTAACTTTGACAGCAACCTTTGTAGCTGGAATCAGATGATCACAGATGCTTTTGACTGGACATGGCAGAGTGGTTCCACTCCCACACTGATGACTGGGCCTTCTGCTGACCACACTGGTGGTAATACACTCTCTGTCTACGTAATATTTTAAATGACAAAAGGAGAATATTTTCTGGTATAAAAACATCTGTCTCACTATACAAAGTGCATCTGACAGCTGTGATCTTGTCTCTTGTCCAGGGGGCCACTACCTTTACATTGAAGCCAGCAGCGTTACATATGGAGACACGTCTCGTCTCATCAGCTCCGAGTGTTCTGACTCTGGTGCTCACTGTCTGCAGTTCTGGTACCATATGTATGGCTCAGCTGATACAATGGGCCTCCATGTATATTTGCTTCAGAACGGAGTAGCCAATGCTGTTTGGCGCAAGAGAAATGACCAAGGGGATGTGTGGCACCTGGCTCAGGTGGACATCACAGCAACAGGACCTTTCCAGGTTAATAAAGATGTTTCCTTCATAACCTGGCTCATTTAGAAACCTCCCATGCAAAACACGAATAGTGTACTACCTGCAACAACACATGGGTAGAATCGATACTCATGGATCTCTATGCTGAAACAGCCATAATGTGCTTTAGTATTAACCTGTGCACTTGATTTTAGATCATTTTTGAGGGACGAAGAGGCTCCAATGATCAGTCTGATGTGGCCATAGATGATGTATCACTTCAACACGGACAGTGTGCAGGTAATCCTGTCCGACAGGCATTATTTATGCCAGTTATTCATTTGTGTTAATACATCTACATTTAAATGTAGCATCCTTATTTATTTTCCATGTAATCTAGTACATTTAGTCGAATAGACACTTTTTACTATCACAAAATTTAATAGCATTTCATTAAATTATGCTGCAGGAGGCATTACAACTAGATACAGTGGAACCTTGGATTGCGAGTATAATTCGTTCCGGCAATGTGCTCGTAATCCAAAGTACTCGTATAACAAAGCGAATTTCCCCATAAGAAATAATGGAAACACAGATGATTCGTTCCACAACCATTTATTCATATAAAAATGATTACAGTAATAGAAAAGGCAATATAAATGTAGCATCCTTGTCTATTTTCCATGTAATCCAGTACATTTAGTCAAATAAACACTTTTTACTATCACAAAATTTAATAGCATTTCATTAAATTATGCTGCAGGAGGCATTACAACTAGATATTGCGAATATGACTAATGCGACACTGTAACATACCTTAAATTATTACATTTCTGATGCGGCTAATACCTTAACATCTCTGTTTATGTTCAGACCTGATCTCAGGTTTTAAATAAAGTCACTAATCACTTCCTTCAGGTCAGGTCCCTGACTGGGATAATGGAACCGAGCTTCCTCCCACGACTGTAGAAGTCCTCCTTCCACACCCAGGTAATTACACTGGAAGTTATATTTTATGTGATAGTTGTTTCTACTGAAATCTGGTTACAAATAACATCATAAACATTTATGTCTGGTCCAATAAATAATGAACCTGCAATTCTCACATGTAACTGAAGTCATAGATATTCTAAAATGTTAGAAAGGTGCATAACAACTATAATGCTTAATGTTTCTCTATTTTTTTTCCACAGGTGACAGTACAGTCTGCAGTCTCGGCTGTAACTTTGACAGCAACCTTTGTAGCTGGAATCAGATGATCACAGATGCTTTTGACTGGACATGGCAGAGTGGTTCCACTCCCACACTGATGACTGGGCCTTCTGCTGACCACACTGGTGGTAATACACTCTCTGTCTACGTAATATTTTAAATGACAAAAGGAGAATATTTTCTGGTATAAAAACATCTGTCTCACTATACAAAGTGCATCTGACAGCTGTGATCTTGTCTCTTGTCCAGGGGGCCACTACCTTTACATTGAAGCCAGCAGCGTTACATATGGAGACACGTCTCGTCTCATCAGCTCCGAGTGTTCTGACTCTGGTGCTCACTGTCTGCAGTTCTGGTACCATATGTATGGCTCAGCTGATACAATGGGCCTCCATGTATATTTGCTTCAGAACGGAGTAGCCAATGCTGTTTGGCGCAAGAGAAATGACCAAGGGGATGTGTGGCACCTGGCTCAGGTGGACATCACAGCAACAGGACCTTTCCAGGTTAATAAAGATGTTTCCTTCATAACCTGGCTCATTTAGAAACCTCCCATGCAAAACACGAATAGTGTACTACCTGCAACAACACATGGGTAGAATCGATACTCATGGATCTCTATGCTGAAACAGCCATAATGTGCTTTAGTATTAACCTGTGCACTTGATTTTAGATCATTTTTGAGGGACGAAGAGGCTCCAATGATCAGTCTGATGTGGCCATAGATGATGTATCACTTCAACACGGACAGTGTGCAGGTAATCCTGTCCGACAGGCATTATTTATGCCAGTTATTCATTTGTGTTAATACATCTACATTTAAATGTAGCATCCTTATTTATTTTCCATGTAATCTAGTACATTTAGTCGAATAGACACTTTTTACTATCACAAAATTTAATAGCATTTCATTAAATTATGCTGCAGGAGGCATTACAACTAGATACAGTGGAACCTTGGATTGCGAGTATAATTCGTTCCGGCAATGTGCTCGTAATCCAAAGTACTCGTATAACAAAGCGAATTTCCCCATAAGAAATAATGGAAACACAGATGATTCGTTCCACAACCATTTATTCATATAAAAATGATTACAGTAATAGAAAAGGCAATATAAATGTAGCATCCTTGTCTATTTTCCATGTAATCCAGTACATTTAGTCAAATAAACACTTTTTACTATCACAAAATTTAATAGCATTTCATTAAATTATGCTGCAGGAGGCATTACAACTAGATATTGTGAATATGACTAATGTGACACTGTAACATACCTTAAATTATTACATTTCTGATGCGGCTAATACCTTAACATCTCTGTTTATGTTCATACCTGATCTCAGGGTTTAAATAAAGTCACTATTCACTTCCTTCAGGTCAGGTCCCTGGCTGGGATAATGGAACCGAGCTTCCTCCCACGGATGTGCAAGTCCTCCTTCTGCACCCAGGTAATTACACTGGAAGTTATATTTTATGGGATAGTTGTTTCTACTGAAATCTGGTTACAAATAACATCATAAACATTTATGTCTGGTCCAATAAATAATGAATCTGCAATTCTCACATGTAACTGAAATCATAGATATTCTAAAATGTTAGAAAGTTGCATAACACCTACAATGTTTTATGTTTTTTATTTGTTTTTTTGCAAAGGTGACAGTACAGTCTGCAGTCTTGGGTCTAAGAATATTTTTTGTCTCTCTAGCACCCACTTGTCTGAAGAACAGTCACTACACCACTTGTATCCCTGCATGCAGTCCAACTTGTATCCACCTGAATGGCCCAACACGTTGCAGTGACGATAACGGCTGTGTGCCAGGATGTGTGTGTGATGATGGCTTTGTTTCAAAATTCGGCGTCTGTGTGCCTATCCAGCAGTGTGGATGTGTGGATAGGAATGGCAACAAACATCAGGTGAGTTCAAGAAAAAAAAAACCTCTGTCATTGGCACAAGTCATATACAGCGTTGCTTTTCAAATACATGGGACCGCTTTTTTAAAGTACATTCTCTGTCTTGACAGTTCAGTGAAGTGTGGTACACCAGTCACTGCAGTCAGAAATGTAAATGTGAACGAGACAACAGAATTGGCAAGACTGAGTGCGCCGACAAAGATGAATGTGATGGAAATGCTGTGTGCCTTCAAAATGACGAGGGCAATTATGACTGCCAGTCAACAGGTGCTATAAAGGCCAGCACTTAAGTCTGAGATGTACATAAACTATTCTGTACCTTTTTAACCAATTTCTCTGCACTTGTTGCTCCACAGGTTTCAGTAAATGCACTATAGATGGAGACCCTGAGTATAAAACCTTTGATAAAATGAAGCATGACTTTAAGGGTGAGCACTCTTATGTGCTGGTCAGGACCGACAACTTGCCAAATAACCTTCCAGATGTCTATATCGAGAGCATCAATACTCGCACTGCAGATGATGATAATGATGACAGTCATCATTACAGTGACAGTAGCAGTGAAGAAGACAGCAAAGAGCATAAGGAACCCCACAGACTACAAGAGCTCAAAATTAGAGTGTACAATCACACTCTGGAGTTCAAGAAGAATCGGAGTCTGGTTGTAAGTATCAAGGAAACTTATAATCATACTGCCTCCATTGTGTTTTCCTGTGGTGCTTTTTCAGCAGGCACAATATTAGATACATGGGATAATATCATATTTCTGTGCTAAACACTAAACTATGCTTTCTGCAAGTGAATAAAGTTAATGGTAGTTCATAAACTCTGACGCTGCATGCTTGCCCCCCTCAGTCCAGGGCAATGTTGAGAAACACACGTGAAAAGCTAATCAGTCCGATCAGTGTGATCAGTGATCCAATTGATTCATTTAGAATATTTATTGGCTTCAACCAATGCTGCTGAAGCAGCAAGAGAGATGCCAACATGCTGCTGTAGGAGAGCTAGTGCAGAAGGGACAGGTCAGATGAACAACACTATAGCATTACTATATTTAATTTTTTAAAGATTAGAATGGGAAATGGGATTTCTGTGGGAAACACTGCAGCTTCAATTAGGAGATAGAAGCTCATGAATAGTTCCTGCACAGTTGTAGGTCTGAAGAGACTCGTGAAATCATACAGGAGAGAAGCCAGTCATCTGTTGCAAGATGATTTGTTAAAACATCTCAGAACCCACCTGGATTGTTTTGCATTTGACTTTCAGTCAAATAAAACACTTTTTCCAGTCATATATTTCATCACTGAAAATTTCTTAAATATTGTGTTAAAATATTGTCTCGTCTCTTCCTCGTGAACCCACTGTCGTGTATCGTCTCATGAGCTACGTAAGTGTATCGTCACACCTCTAACAATGACTGACTTAAATTGGCTTATCTAACCTCAAAAAACAATTCTGATACCCATCCCTAGCCGGTACCACATTTCTTAGTAATCCATCATAGCTTTTGAGAATTTCAGTCTGCACAGTGTGGAACTGACCAAAAGAGTGACGCTGCCATCTCTAGAGCCACGCTGGTAGAACATGCACAATATCAAATCATACAAGAACAAACACTGCATCAGACAAAGCTACTTAAATATGATAAGCTGCACTGACGCCTTCCCCTTTCTGTCTCCCTCCAGGTGAATGGAAGAAGAGCTAATACTCCTGTCTCACCAACTGCTGGTCTAAAGATCTGGGAGCACTCCTCTCACATCTACCTGAAGACAGACTTTGGCCTCTCAGTGGAGTTTGATGGACACAGCACAGCAGGTAACCAACTGTAGCATCATTAGACAAGTATAACTACATTATCCCTGTTAGTAGTTAGTCCTGAAACGTGTAGGATTCATGGCAAATCACAATTTATCACTCTGTGTCACTGAATGACAGATTTTCAGATGGGAGACAAATTTCCAGTCAGTTAGGTGACACTGTTTTGCTGATGTTGTTCCTGCAGAGATCACTCTACCACACGTGTATAAAAAGAAAGTGGGAGGTCTGTGTGGGAACTTCGACGGAAAAAAGGGGAATGACCGGATGAAGCCAGACGGTACCTGGGCCATAAGCGTGCAAGAGTTTGGAGAGAGCTGGGCAGTATGAATATCAGAAGGAAGAGACACAGCACTTGAGATACCCCATGCAGGTTTTGACCACCAGTAGAAACATTACTGTGTCAGTTTACAGGAAAATGCTACTGTACACCAATAATATCTATATCTATCTCTACCTTTGTATGACAATATTGAATGATGATGATGGCATTTTGCTGTTATAAACAAATATTTGTTCAGTCTTTTCTATTGCACTTGCATTATTGTGCGACTTTACATAGTTTCAGGAATCTGATGTTAAGTGTATATTAGTAAACTTTCAAGTGTATTTTGAAAAAGGTACTCGTCTCCTTGAAATTTTAATCACATGCTTCAATAAATCTTTGCACTCTGTGACAATATATCAGCATCACTGCCGAGCATATTCTGTATTCAGCTGTGCATAATGTACTATACAATCATCTTTCACTTCAGTACATCAAAATAAAAGACACAGTACAGTGTGTTTAAATACATGGCTACAACTGGATTATTTATTACTACCTGATACTGTTGGAAAGAAATTAAATTTGTAATAAATTATTATTCAAAAGATCGCTTGACCTTGAGTCAATGTATATCTGAAGGTCAGTCAGTTTGTACGTTTTCTTTTGATTCATCACTGTTCTGATAAATATACAGTGTTTAAAGTCTGGATAAAGCAAAATCTGCACCGTCTGCTCTCATTCAAACACCCACACAAAAGGAGAAGCGGCTCCATAAACAACAAAACCATATTTCTAATCTTACTCGGTGGCCTTTGATAAAATGCTCCTGTAGAGCACTAGCACCAGTTCTCCTGTTTGATTGTGAGTTGCTACACCTACTAGAGGCTACAGTTTGCTAGCAAGCTGTACCTTCATCCCACAAATGCATCTTTCCTTTTCAGAATTTCAGAGCAGAGAATACACCTTATTTTTTTCATGATTTCAACAGCTGATTTTCTATATTTGGTGATCTGTTTAATCATTCACATTTGTCTGGGTAGTTAATACATATTCCTGTGGTGTGACAAACTCAATGCATTTATTTCTACTTTACCCTGACTTTAAATCTGTGGCGCTTTGTGTTGAGCCATTTCAGTCTCAAATTGTGATACAACTGCATTCCTGACATATCTACAGTGTTAATGTGTGAAGCATTACTTACCTGTGAGTGGGGAAACAGATCATTACAGAAGGAAAACAGACAGAACCTCTGTAACACAATATTGTTCTGTTGAGACAATGTCAACATTCTTTTCTGGCAGACAATGGGATTATTCTTGTTGGGAGACTACCTCGTGTGTGTGTATGTGTGTGTCTCATGTGCATGTATAAATAAACCTTGGTTACACTCAGCAGACACACAGGATCATGGACTGTTTTGCATTGTGTTTCTGTCTCCTGCTGGCGTTGCTCTTTTATGATGGTGAGTGAAATATTATCAAATTTAATTCTGAGCAGGTATAATTCCTGGCATAGCATCTTCAAATTCCTCTGTGTTCACAATATCGCTAATTACAACAAGGTATAATTAAAATACAACAAACAATGTGATGAACAATAATTTGACCATTGGTCTTTGAAATACTAATAAGTCATCTGAAAGTTACCCTTTTAAATAGGCACTCCAAATACATGACAAATTCAGTTGTGTCAACATTAATGAGATGTAGTAACTGCATGATGGTTCTATGAAGCTGGTGTCTCATGTGCATGTATAAAAAAACCTTGGTTACACTCAGCAGGCACACAGGATCATGGACTGTTTTGCATTGTGTTTCTGTCTCCTGCTGGCGTTGCTCTTTTATGATGGTGAGTGAAATATTATCAAATTTAATTCTGAGCAGGTATAATTCCTGGCATAGCATCTTCAAATTCCTCTGTGTTCACAATATCGCTAATTACAACAAGGTATAATTAAAATACAACAAACAATGTGATGAACAATAATTTGACCATTGGTCTTTGAAATACTAATAAGTCATCTGAAAGTTACCCTTTTAAATAGGCACTCCAAATACATGACAAATTCAGTTGTGTCAACATTAATGAGATGTAGTAACTGCATGATGGTTCTATGAAGCTGTTTGGTTAAGTCTCATTAATGGTAAAGCAAATATTGGCTGAAACTGATTAAAAATTAAGTGATGAATATGGAGGAAAATGTGTTTCTAAACATAAAGTTGCATATAACAGGTCATGTTGTCTATACAAACAACCTATTCTTTGAACAAGTACTGGCCTTTTAAAGTATCTGTTGTGAAAACCATCTGTGTCGCCTTTTCCAGGAAAGATTAAATTGTGTTACTGCCCACTCGTGCTATACCAGACAGTTCGTCTATGACAGTGAATTTATGCCAGCTACCTCTACTGGGCAAAAGCTCACTATAATCATTGTTTTTTTTTTCTCAAATCCAATGAAATGATTTGTCATTGTCGCTTCTAATTTTCTAGCTCAGACAACAGCTCCCCCTACCACCCTGACAGGTAACATGCACAACACCACCTCATACACTCGGCTCTCTGTTTCATCTGCCCCAGAGCAACATATTCTTCCTCCTCCTCCCCTCAACAACAATCAGTAACATCCAGTGCTGGGGAGTAGTGAACATGTATTTAAACTTTAATTTTATTTTGCACTAGGTTTCTAGTAGTTCAAATACATATTTGCATTATGATTCAAGTAGTTCAATTACTTTCTCATCCAACTGAAAACTATTTTGGGTCACAGAAGGAAACTAACTGCTCTGATAGCCACAAAACCTCTCACAGGCCCCTTAAACTGGAGACTCTTAGCTACAGCTGCTGCTACTACCACTATATCTACACTACCTTCTCCAGGTGAGGTAGAATATGGGTTATTAATCAGCCGCTTGATGCCTGTGCGTTAAATAATAATAAGATCAATATCAAAGATTTTTATTGTCAATTCACTATATGTGCAGGAACACAGAAAATCGAAATACCGTTTCTCTCTCACCTAGCACTGAATGCCATACCATTTAGGAAACTAAAAGAGAATAAAAGTAGAGCAAAGTAGACTAAAAAGAATAAGAAACTAAGTCAAAGTGATTAGGATAAAACTAAACAGTACAACCTAATAAGCTATGACTCAAACCATGTACAATCAGTGACATCGGTGCAAATAATAACAAGAAGATTGTCAGATGGTTGTGAGATTGAGATGCACATGGACAGTAGTGCAAATGACCAACAGCAGCAGATATGACAGTAAAAACGGTCAGCAGCAGATTTAATATAACAAGAAGGGGGAATGTACTGGGTTTGTGCAAAACAGCAGAAGTAGTCTTTCTCTGTTCTGTAGTGGGTCACAGTCTAGGGGCGGGGGGCGGGGGGAGGGAATGGACAGCATTCAGCATCCTCACAGCCTGGAGGATGAAGCTGTTTGTAAGTCTGGGGGAGTGGGCCTGAAGGCAGGAGTCGATACCTGAAGTGGGAGTATGAGGGGTGGGTGGTGTCATCAGCAATGCTGATGGCCCTGCTGGTGAGGTGGGTGTTAACGATGTCTGTGAGGGGTGCCAATGAACTTGCTGGCTGTGCTCACTATGCGTTGCATGGTCTTTCTGCAGAAGGCAGTACAGCCTCCGTACCACACAGTGATGCAGCCAGTGATGACACTCTCAATGGTGCCCCGGTAGAAAGCACACATGACGGGGGGGTGGGACACTGGCTCTCCTCAGTTTGCGGAGGAAGTAGAGGCACGTTTGAGCCTTCTTGGCCAGTGATGTGATGTTGTTTGTCCAGGAGAGGTCCTCATAATGACTGCAATAATAAATACTGTGTTGAATCTGTCCTGCTTTGATTTTATAACATCATTCCTACTGCTGGTGTGTTTGCTCTAGTCTGTGCAGGTCCACCACTGTTATGCTGCACTGGTAAGAACAACAGCTGTTACAGGGGGTGTTACTGTGACGAGTACTGCCAGCTAGTCAATGACTGCTGCGCTGACTACAACACAACCTGCACAGGTGAGGGCAAACAAATATATGATGTTTTGAACATTTTGTTTCAATTTAGGACTTGAGATAACATCTTATATTTTATACTGCACTTCGCTTTGACCACTGCACCACCAGGCAGACCCAGCACAACAATCAGCACTACGACGTCTACAGAGCTGGAGAAGAGTACAACCTCGGCATCCACAGTCTCAGCTACTACAGCAACTAGTCAAACAAAAAGAAATGCTACACCTGAACTACTGGACACAAGTGCAACCTCTACTACAGCAGACAGCAGTACTGTTTCTAGACTGGTAAAGGTGAGTACAACATCAGGACCCACAGTGTCTTCAACAACACCACCACCCAGGACAACAATCAGCACTACCACGTCTACAGTGCTGGAGAAGAGTACAACCTCGGCATCCACAGTCTCAGCTACTACAGCAACTAGTCAAACAAAAAGAAATGCTACACCTGAACTACCGGATGTGAGCACAACATCAGCATCAGTGGAGACTGCTACTACAGTGGACAGCGGTTGTGTCACATCTTCCCCAGCAGATGGAAGCACATCTGGAGTTTCCAACACAAACACAGCTCCCAGGACCACCAACAGCTCAAATAAAGGTACAGTCAGTGACATGGACTTCTACCCTTCGGTGTCGTTGTTACCCATCATTTTCGTTTCTGAATACATTTTCATCTGTACTTTTTTTTCCCTCAGACTCCCAAAGAGTGACTGTTCACCTAAAAGTTTCTGTTTCATCCCACAATGAGGAAAATGAAGATGTGATTTTAGAGGCTTTAACTGAAGTACAAATAACCTTCAACCTGCATCATAATATTTATAGTTATAGTATCACAGCAAAACTACATGCATTATTCATGTTGTTGCTTGCTTAGTCAGAGAGTGTTTTCTCTCTTTCACAGTTTCTGTACCAGGCTTTTATCCAGCAGAACTGTGAGGACTGCACTTTGACCATCAGACACATAAAACCCACCTGATAAATGGCCTGTGTTGCAGCCAAAGCGTAAATCCCAGTTTACCTGACTGCAACCACATTTCCATCACATTTCCAGCCATCTTACTCCCACCCTCATAAGACACCTTCATGATGGCTGGCCACACCAAGCCAGGAACGGTCAAATAAGGGAGACAGGATGACTCCACTGAGGTTTTTAAATCCAAACTAAAAATGCATCTATATTTGTTAACTTGTAATTAAAAACTATTAAACCACTATTTTATTCACTGTTCTCTTACTTTATTTTATATTTCCCACTGTATTTTTTTCTGCATTTTCCACTATTACGTTGCATTTTGTGAGGGTATCTGATGCCGTTTGTTCTGCTTGCTGCTGTTGTAAACTGTGTTGCTGACACACCCTGTTGTGAAACTGCACTTTGAATAAAGTTTTAGCTGACTGGTTTTGTTTAACTATGCCAGCGATGAAGACAAACCACCAGGGCCATTCATTCTGAAAGTACACCCTTATTTTGTGCCATTTAAATGTCTAATTTTAACCAAAAAAAGAAAAGTAAACTTAGATTTGCTGTTCTCTTTTGGTGGAAGATTCACTTAACTTTTAAGATATGACATACAACAGATTTAAAACAATATACATACATGACTTACACACGTTCCTAATGTAGGCCAGCAGAAGGAAGAAACTGTGGTACTAAGACTTGTAGGTACATGTAAATACTGAAACAGTGATACATATGACACTGTTTATAAAGTCTGGATGCATGTATCAAATACATGACTCACCCAGGTTTATCTATTGGCCTATGAACGAGGCATACACGTCGAAAACGTAAAAGAGTTATGTATTTAAAGCTAATGAGTCGTTTTGGAGCACAGCTTAAAAACACAACAGATTCTCACAACCAGCTCAGTGTATGAAGTACAATTCATTTGTGATAATCCATCTCGTATATGGAATAATGTGTCTGTGCACTTTTCCTTGTACCACTACATTTACACAATAGTAAATGTGAAAAGATATAAGCACCACTGCAGAACATATGTACAGGCAAGTAAAACTGGACAATGACAGCAGCTTAGCACATCTTCAAATAAGGCACAGAATATAACCTCTAAGTATCCTGTATAGCTTCACAGTGAAACGGGCCAAGATCTGTTAAATCCCATAACCTTAAAGTTACACAGTGAGTTAAATATACTGTAGAGAGAAGAGACATAAACGTTTAAATGTAAAAAAAAAAATAAATAAACTAGCAAGGAAAGAGAAGAGAAAGCAAGTTCTGACTCACATATTGATGTCGAAGCCCATCGTCCTTTCTTTTGTGGTGGTCAACTGGTCTTTATCCATATAATATCCCATTGCACGCTGCATGTTGCCCTGACAGTCGGTTTATTTGTTTGTTTGTTTGTTTGTTTGTTTTAATTCCTCACATCCTCTTTCGGTAGCGTCGAATAACGTTATAACATTATAATTTTGCCAGCAACACTGGAAAACAAGCTGTTTTTAAACGGGTTTTGTCAGAAGGTCGAAGAGCGACTAGCTATACAGTTTGTCTTCCAGAAATGTCTCCACTGATGCGCAGCCAAAAGATTCTTAGTTACTTTACCGTTTTTACTTTTAATGACGCGCTAACCTGTTTCTTGTTAGACGCCACACAGGTGCCTTGGACCGCCCACACTGAGTGACGTCAGCCAGGTATTACACCCCAGGGGGCGCCCTTTCTCTCATTTCAGAAAATTCTGTGAAAATCCCGGAAGTGTATATAAACAAATTAATTACCCTCCAATTATATTTTGAATGATATATTTGCGGTGTGAATGGTTTTATCTAGATTCTAGTGTTTCCAGTGTCTATGGCTAATACCGCGATGACCACATTACAAAAGTACAATACAGTGTGTTTAAAGCCCAAAATGAATTTATGACTACACATTTTATGTGCAATATGAAATGCTGTTAGCACTTTGTCATAGTGGTTGTTATTTGGACATGGGAGGCTTGTAACCTTCCCTCTCTCTAGTCTGGTTTATGGAAACAATAGTCATTCTCAAGTGTAGCTACAACAACAGTCTTGTCTACAGTGGAACAGATTTTTTTTTAATCAAAAAATTTTAAGAACAACATATTTGGCCACAATCATACAAAATCATGTGTTGGTTTGCACTTGTTAGTTGCAATGATGGTGGGAGGTCCTTCATCGGAGCTGCTTCAAACTGTCACTTCTCCACAAACTTCACAGTGGCTTCCATCCTTTCTGGTTGTTTTTGGAAACCTTTATCCAGGCCCCACCCATCCACCTGTCCTGCAACCATCTCTGGCATGTAAAACAACCAAGTACAATGTCTTATCTGTACTCACTACAGCACTATACTTTTAATACCTCCGCCCCCTTCATAAAATCCTAACAGCTAGAAAATAAAAGAAATTACTGGTGGCATGCTGTCCTGACTAAAACACACACATACATGAAGGGGAAAACAAGAATTTAGAAATGCAAAATTAAAGCAGCAGAAGTCAGTTTAACTACTGCTCTGCCAAAAGGATCCAGCACAACTATCAGCAGTACTACATCTACACCAGTAGATGACAGCACAACCACAGCACACAGTCTTTACTATTTCATTCATTCATTTTCTACCACTTAGTCACTGAACAGGGTCACAGGGGGGGCCGGAGCCAATCCCGGCCGGCAATCGGGTGAAGGCAGGGTACACCCTGGACAGGTCGCCAATCCATCGCAGGGCTAACACATAGACAAACAACCACACACACGCACTCCTATGTGCAATTTAGAGACACCAATCAACCTAAGCTGCATGTCTTTGGACTGTGGGAGGAAGCCGAAGTACCTGGAGAGAACCCACGCAAGCATGGGGAGAACATGCAAACTCCACACAGAAAGGTCCCAGGTGAACCCGGAACCTTCTCGCTGTGAGGCAACAGCCCTAACCACTGTGCCACCGTGCTGCCCTTTCTTTACTATGTCAACACCCAGAATTAGTGAAACTGCAAGAAATGATGGCACAACTCCAGCACATTCATGGTGAATCACTTTCAAATACTCACATTTGCCGAAATACATCTATTTATGCATCACAAGAAGTCATGTCTTCAGTGATAATAACTATCTTTATTTGCACAGTTCATGCAGCAAGTGCAGCTCAAAGTGCTGGACAACAACAAATTACAATATAAGCAAAAATTAAAACAAAGTAATAAATAACTAATTGAATATATGAAAACCAGCAGATGGCAGCATATCTACAGGTTCCAACCAAGACAGAAACTTTAGGACCACTATCTGCATTGGCAATGGTAGTTTACATTCAGTGACACAGATGTAGCTAACAAGGTATATGGGAACATAGAAAACATTTCTCTCTGCAGATGTCTTAATAGGGATGCGCCTAAACATCTCCACTATGAGAAGAAAAACACAAGTACTTTTAGAGGAAGCACATGAAAATTAGCAAATCCACATGATAAAGTTACAGCATCACAAGAAACCAGATACTGTGAGGAAAGATAGGCAGCGATTGCATCATAGACTGTATGCTGTTCCCTTCAGTGTGTGTGTGTGGTTTGTGTCCCAGATCCAGGCCCTTCCTCAGCAGAGCTGCACCTTGATTAGACATAAACCCACCTTATAGCCTAATGCATGCATGTTACATGCATGTTTACAGCTATACTGCAAAAACAGACTGCACGCTATGAAAACTGTTGAATGATTAACTTTAAACCTTAGATTTAAAATTAAGACTTGAAACCACATTTATTGAGTTAGCGCTATCTGGTGAGTATTACTGGGGCAGGCTGGTCTTCACCATGAAGGCAGCGAGGTAGGATCTACACGTGGCGACCCCAGCACTTCAAGGGAGGAGGATGAGACAAAAATTTAATTATGAGGGAAGAAGAGGAAACAGGTCTACATGGCCTCAGGGACCGGCATAACCTCTGGGAGCGGATAGTTCAGATTAGACCAGCATTGTCAGGCCAGACCCACCTCTGACCTGTAGGTGATTTAATTGCACAAAGGCCCTTAATGCAAAAATGTAAATGAGTCTTTCTTCTTTTCTTTCTTTCAGTGGGGCATATTTGCTTGTGTATTTGATCCGAGAGATAGACCCCACTGTACCTAATCAGCCGCAACTCTGCTAATCTGAAACATCCTCCATCTCTCCACAAACGCACTGTAACATTTCTGCGTGGTGCAAATCAGAAGCGTGTGTTCTCTGTTAGCTCCTCTCCACAATCCCGCTGCGCAATTGAAGTTAATTCTGCAGAGTGAGTCTCGGGTTCACATTTCGCCGCAGCTTTGCAAACTTAGATCATATGGGGTCACTGAGAGGTTGAAGCGGCCCTGTAGCTGTGCGTCAAGTCTCCAAAGATCAGTTACAATGTAATGGCAAAGGAATGTCGCTATTGCATAGAGGTTTGGCTCTAATTAGAACCAATTTGAGAGTGGATGTCATTTTATTTTATTCTGAAACGTTTATGTGCATGCATATTCTGGAGGCTTTTTTTTTTTTTTTGGCTACTGTTGAAAGTACTGGTTGATACTGCAATATACAGTAGAATCAAATTACTGAACACTGTAGAGTGAAATTACACAAGGTAAAATCATGTTGTATATCCAGATTCAAATAAACTGTTTATCGATTTATGCACAATGTTCAAAGTCTAATATAAATATAAATGTCTGTAAATGTTTTTTATATTAGATGCAGTAAATTCATGCATTGCCCTTATCTAATTTGTTCAGTATGTTCAGTTAAACTGAAATGATAGAATGGAAAATCCAGTGTTAGCTCAATGTTCTCTCTCTCTCTCTCTCTCTCACACACACACACACACACTGTCCATGATGTCCGCACCATCAGTCCGCTGAGGTATCCTTGGTTCCCTGTGGCGTGAGCATGTCGAAGGCCCCGCTGTTATTGATCCTGATTGGGCCTCACAGGAGGAGATTCCGGCCTGCCATTGACCCACACTTCTCCATGTTTCCACCCTTCTCTTAGATCATCAGAGGCAGCCGTCCTCTCCTGCTGGCCAGCCTGCCTGCTTGCGTGAGATTTCTGATTGTCAGATGGAAAAAGGAAAAAGGGAAAAAATGAACTTACTACAGGTTTTGTAAAATCACTAGCAGGTCTTGCTTGAGTAGTCCACACTGACGTTTTTCTGGCTTGGTGACTGTCAAAACATCCCCCCCAGACGTTCATACACTGCCTCCTCCTAAGAAAGCTCGTGGCTCACAGACTGCTCTCCTCTTCAAAGTAAAACTTCTCTGCCATGTGGCCTGTGTTGAATTTTTGCATTGAAGGTTGCCCAGTGCTTATGAACTCCTCGTAGGGGTCCTTATTCTCCTCATCATTGCCTATGAAGCACTTGAAAAGTGTCATGGCAAGGAAGGCGTAGAAGAACATGACAAACAGGATGTAGAAGTAAGCATTGTCATAAGTTCCCCTGGAGCTGGAGATGGTCGATACTGTTCTTGTGCCGGACAGAGGGATCTCTGTGGTGCTGGAAACAGTCCTGTTGATTTGGTGCCCGCTAATGTCGATGCCAGTGTCCTCCAGAAAGTGTGGGCATCTGGAGAGTAGAGAAAGCAGGAGGGTCTGATTCACACGTTTCATGGCAAAACTGACAGAGATTGAGAATGAAAAATACCCTAACAAAAACAGATATAAGAGGGACTACAGCAACAGAGAAAGAACTGCAGATGGAAATTGTCAGAGGCAGTCACTCACCACTTTAGGAAAGGCACGCTGTGACTCATCAAACCCACTCTACAAGAGACTTGATAAGGTGGTATTTCAGAGATAAAGCCCACTCTGTTCCATAAGAGCCAGCCAAAATATAAAAGCACAACTGCGACCTTCTTTTTGGAAGGATTTGTACAGAACTGTTTGTCAGTCAGTCATACCCTCTAAAATTACAATTCTCCCAGGACACTGTGGCTCAAAATATTTTCTAAACCTCCCCTTTTCACTCTTTTTCATATGTGAAATTCTTTTTTTTAAAGCCCCGTCCTCTTTGTGCTCACTCCTTCACTTTCAATTTGGAGCTTGGAAGCTGCAGAGATGCTTGGATTGTTGTCAGCTCCGGTCAAATAGTCCTCTCATTTCAAAGAGTGTTGGGGTCAGAGGTTAAGTTGTCTCCAGTGTGTTGGTGCTTGACTGACACTCCACTCCAAAACAACCCCTTTGGCTTTTTCACTCACTGTGTCTTACAAGTTGAGCTCTTGTAAAAAAAAAAAAAAAGAAAAAGAAAAATCCATTATTATATAATTATATATATATGTATACAAACATAGTGAAATGTAATCTTACCTTCAGCATAAACATGCAAACAAACACACTGACAAAGATAGCCCACAAATATTAAAAACATATTAGTACACAAAAACAAACATATTTAGTGTATTATCATTCATGTTTACACAATCACTTTACACACATGAATGACATGAACAGCTGCATACCTGATCCATAAGAGAGAGGAGAAGAATGACAGATGATAAAAATGCAAGGGTGATATCTATAAACTTTCTGAGGAGTCTGCCAACTGGGTGGACAGTGTTTTCGTTTCCTTTTGACATCGAGAGCTAACACCCTTCTGAACTCTGCACAGTGAGTGATGTGCAGTGCGCCTGTGGGCCAGTGTGCTTAGATAATTTACAGCAGTTCTGCTTTAGTCATTAGGAGCTGTAAAGGAACCCCCAAGGAGAGGGAATTTGTCTGAAAGCAGTGTTTATTAAAGGAGATAAATTTATGATTTAGAATGCCATAAGTGTACATGAGGTACACAGCTCATATTGTCACTCTTTTGGATTTATATAGAAGGTGAAAATGTGCCGGCCTACTTAAAAGGTAAAATAGAAAGACTTTTCTTGACAACTCTAATTTTCATTTTATTTACCATTTAGTGTTCAGTTACACTTAAATTTTATTGCCCAAGAAGACGGTTGAACAAAGCCTTTTCCACAATTCTAGGAATAAAATACTGGGAGATAAAAGCCACCCAACATACACTTAATTTATATTTAGCTGTTTACTGAAGCCCCCCCATCTTAACCTTGGACCCCTCCTAAAAGTCCCGCTCCTCAGTTTGGGAATCGCTGGTTTAAACTGTAGAGTGTAAACCTACAAATTCTGTAGGACACACTTTTGGTGGCTGCAGCCCTGGTATCACATAAACAACACATACTTTCTGTTTTTATATAGTTTATTATAAATAGTAAATAGTGCTGTAATTGGACACAAAACTTCTTACAACAAAATCATTTGACACCAATGTAAATGAAAATTATGCAAAAGAAAACACATGAATAATGAACACTGTGTAAGACTTAAACACTTCAGACATATAGAGGAGACAACACTTGAACAAAACTAAATAAATAAGAAGTGGAACTAATGTTTGCAAGTTCCTGATTTAAAAAAAAAACTAAAATAACACATGCAAAAAAAAAAAGTCACAAACACAAAAGCCTCAAATTAACTATCAAACTGAATAATGTCTTCACTGGCAGAGAATTTTTTGGCTTAATGACGTCACAACTATGTTTGTTATTTCCCCTGATTGATCAATGCACACAACCCAAAATGATGATGATCTTAAAAAGAGAGCATTATTTGATCAGGGACATCTGATTTGTGTTCATTTACATCACATGAGGTATGAATGTATTGCACTTTCTTTGGGTTGATTCCACTAGGCCACTGAGATTCACATCTTCCTGCTGGTTTTCTTGGTCAAGTCACATGATCATCTCCAGCATCTTACACAAGAATAAAATGAATGTAAGTTTATATGACATTGTGATGAAGAACACTGTGGCCGAGTGCAGCATGTTATTACCAGCCGGCCTTTCAGTAACCATCAGCCATAAGGGGGCTTACAAAACCCGCCTCAACTTGCATCTCTGCCACTTATTACAAAAATCAAATACAGAATCTTGAATGTATTTACTCCCCTTTCCCCGCCCCTCTTCTTTTCCTGTTTAAGCGTGGACAACAAACCACACTTGGTCCTTGAAGCATGACGTGCACACAAGCAAAGTGAGTGCCAGGTAACAGGAGAGGCTGCGGCCTTTGGTCCTAATTATTCCAGTCAACCCCCTCCTACACGTCCATCTCAACTGGTTACCTTTCCTTGCTGGAGGAGAACACCTCAACCCCTTCACCCACCCCAGTCACTTTTTGGCTGCCCTCAGGCCCGGGGAGGTTTGGCAAAGGCAGCGGGTGGGGGTGTTCTCTGGCGATGAATGTCAGTCTAGCTCAGGCCATGCTGGGGGCTTCATATAATGAAAGGCACCTGAGGAGTGCAGAGAAAAACAAAAAAAAGTTAAAGAGACTCTTTTTGTATTTTATTCAGCTATGACTGCTTAAATCATCTGATGGATGACCAATCAAAAGAATGAATTTTGAAGATGAGAATGTTATGTTTAGGAGAAAGACCATGAAAGGAAGAAAGGATTTAAGAGCAGGTGAGAATGGAAACTGACGGATCCTGGGTTAAATAATAAAGCTCAATAAACAGGTGAAGAGCTTTGAGAACCTCACTGACCATTCTTTGAACCTAATGTAGTTGGTAAACCTGAGAATGAGCCTTACAGGATCTCTGGCTCTGCTCCACTGATCAATAACAACTCTAAATCTGACCTCCAGTGGGACACATGGTTCTAATCCTGGCCTGCCAAGGGCCATAATCGCTCCCTGGTAAAGAGCCTCTTACCTTCCTTTTATACCCACACATGCATGTGCTCACATGAGCACACACACATTTCACCAAACCCCCAAAAGCTACATGTGGGTCTCTCTCTCAGGACTGGATAAATTAACGACATCAAGATGTTGCCACTGATGGGCCAGTCAACATGTGGCAGTGTACCTCAGATCAGCCCCGACCCACACACTCCCCCTTCCTAATGTCAAACATGCTTCGCTAAGTGGCTCTTTTCATTTGGGTGGCTATCTTTGTTAGCCAGTGATCATTACATGGCTTGGTGAGCTACACTAAGAGTTTGATGGGCAAGTGCGTTACACTGGGTCATAAAAGAGCAGCGAGTGAAAGTGTGTGTGTTGGAACAAGAACCCTGACCTGCCTCTCCATCATGCCACGCGAATGGTCTGATGATGGTAATGTAAACTGAGGTAACCTGGCCACTGCTGCTCTCCAACATAGGCATAATTTCACCGCAGAGCCGAGTGATTTGAGAAGCTCCCTCATCAGAGAGGTCTGCCCAATTAACGGGGGGCTGTGAGTCAGAAAATCTAAACTAAGCAGCTCAACCAGAGCAGGGGTTACAGAAGGACATAACCGCTAGTCAATTACATTCAATTATAAAAATTTAAATCCTTAAACACCCATAACACTTTGACAGATCAGCATGAAAGAACACACTTGAAACATTGCGTGTATTTCAAACACACCTTGCTCTGACTGTACTGTCCATACTGGTAGGATGGATGGTGGTCTACGGCGTACGCTGGGGAGGTGTAGGAAGGTGGGCAGTAAGACTGGCTGCTAGGGAGGGTGGGCATACTGGTCAAGCCTGGCAGAGCCTCCAGGCGTTGGGAACCATGACAGCTGGCAGCCATGCCTCCGTTAGGCTCCAGGCCTCCAGTCAGCGGGGAGAGGGTGAAGTCACTCTGGGACTGATGTGGCACTCCACTAGGGTTCAAGAGGCCCATCACCTGAAGGGAAGAACAGAAGGTGATTAAAATAGAAATTAGCTGAACTGAACAGAAAAGAAACACATGTATAGATTATGAATTAAACAAATGTATTTACTTTGTTTCTTTTTACAAAAATCTGACCATTCAATCAACTCTCCCGCTCCACCCGGGTGGGCTAAAGTGTGGACCCCTCCTCTTGTTCATTGTCAGAAATACATTATTATTGACTTCCTTTACACATGTGGTTTCTCTTTGCTCTGCTTGACTGACTGGGAAGCCGATGGTTAGCCCGCTAGTAGTTTCTGTTCAATTTATCCTGTCATATTTATGGAAGCAGATTAAAGAGGATCTTTTTCCTTTTATTTTTCCTTGTCATGACATTTCTAGCATTTTGATACAACTGAAATAGCTTGAAAAGAAATAAAGTGTCTAATTTTGGGTGATCATAATATAGGAAAAATATTTTGAAAATTCATTTGTGATAATATTTAAGCAGAACTCAAACAGATTAGCTCGTGTCCACTGAGCTTCTTAAGAACAATGCACGTTTTCTTATTGTCTTGTTCTCTCTCTCTTTCTGTTGTTGTCCTAAAATCACCACGTCCTTGTGAGTCCAGGGTAAAAAGGTCAAAGCCCGTGTCAGAACAAGGGGCAGGGTGTGTTTGTGTATGTATCTGAGACCTACCTCCCCTAGTGTTGTGTATGTAACAGTAGTTGTGTGTGTGTAAGCATTTTTGCTCTGATGTGAAGGGTGCGGGGGTATCAGTGATCCGTCGTGAACAGCTGCACACAGGTTTGCGTGAGAAGTAAAGTCATAAAAACGTAAAAAACGGAGTGAAAGAGGGAAGAAGTCAAACCGGGAAAGAAAATGGGAATTAGGACGAACCCAAACCCAAATGCACTCAAAATAAGCTGGAAAGAAAAAGCAATGAATAAATAACACTGAGTGATGTAAAAACAAGGTTTTCCCAAATGACAGCCAGCTGGCACACACACACACACACACACACACACACACACACACACACACACACTGAGGCAACCACACCTGTGTTTAATGATTGTAATTTACAGTTGGTCTGTCAGAGTGATCTGACCTCACACATCTGACAAACACAGCACTGAGGTCTACCACTAATGTTTCTCTTACTGTTGAGAATAAGTGCAATATGCTGTAAAACACAAAAGGCTCTTGCACAGACAGCATATTATGTTTTTATATCGCTAAAATTAAATATATGTTTGTGTGCATGCTCACGTCTAAGGGTCTGTGTCTGATCTAGATGCTCATGCGATCACGCACTTTTCTGTCTGCAACTGAAACAGCAACAGTTCCCAATGGTGCGTCTGTTTTGAGGTTGTTCCAGGGATTAGGTCTCAGGGGGGTGCAAATCCCGGACGCTCGCTTCCTTGGTGAGAAAGGATTCCTTTGGTATGCATCAGATCAGCAGTGCGACGCCAGAGACGCAGCACCACAGGGAAAGCAGTGGTCTAACTGCTGCTCCCAACCGCTCAGACGGGAATCTCACCTATCTAAAGTAAACGTTGTCCATATCAAAATTCCATGGTGATTTAATGTGACCATATCTGGAGTTAAATGAACTCCTGAATCTCTTGATGGATACAGAATAGAAGTAGCTTTCATAGACAAATTTGGAGTTCTGATAAGCACATGACTCCAGGGACGATTTAATAGAAAATAGACCGTGCTATGTAGCTATTCATGAAAACTGAAGGTGTAAAGTTTTCTAAGTGCACAGAGGTCTTCATGTATTAACTACCAATGTCATAGAATTTAATCAGTTCTCATTTCCTCTCCCTTATTAAGTTAAAATCAGGAAAGTTAATTCTATCCTCATCTGAAATAGAGAAAACTGTAGTGCAATATACATTCAAACAGCTGAAATGAATACATGAATTAAAACAAATTAGCCAACAAAGTGAGTCATTTGCATAAATTACACACTTTGTTATGAGGAGATAGATTACTTCATTTCAATCAATTAAGAGGGGGGAACGTTCTGTGATTGCAATTCCAGACTAAGAAAACATTCCAGGCACGGTGTCCCTATGCAAGATGAGATGTCCTTTCTGAATGGACCTGCCCACTAAGGTTAATACTGAAACCATCCATGAGGCCAGAGCACTATTGACCTGTTTACTGGAGTTAAAGTCACTCTGTGACCCAGTGGGTGTGTGAACTCACAGCACAGGCATGTTACAGGACAGCAGCTCCTAGAGGGTTTATATCCTGGTTATGCAAAGTTGTTATTTGAAGCACTGATTTTAAGTTGGTTCAGATTAAAATCTCCACTGATGCCATTCACCATGTGTCATTTGCATTTTGCCTACAATAATTTATCTATCCAATTAAAATGGAAATCAACAATGGATGATGTTCCAAAAGTAAATGTGGCTAGTTCTTGACGAGGAAACAAATTCTAGGCTATAACTGGAGCTCATGTATCAAAGCAGTCAATTATACCTTCAGCCACAATGGTGCCACCTATCGCCGTCTGACCGTGCACACTGGGAACCACAACAAAGCTTTACTCTGTTTTTCAATGCATATACATCCTCAGGCATTCACATAGTAACAAACCTGCCTGGAAGCAGTTTTTTATCTGTGCCTGACAGGAGTCTGAGATTCTCTCTCATAGGAATTACTGCCCAGCATGCATTGCATGTGGGCTTGCCACACTTCGTGGCAGTTAAAAGCTCGTTTTACGCCTATTAGTCCATCTTCTGGGCTGGTAGGAAGCCACTGATGGACATTGATGACTGTGTAATCGACCATAATTGTCTTTTCAGTTTTGATTTGTCTCATCATTCCATGTCCATACATCCCTCCTCATGTCTGGTCCTTCCTGCCTCCCTAAAGAGTGACGATTGCCACATTTAAAATTCATCAAACAACCCATCAGAATAAACAAAAATGAAAAGCCACCATGTTCTTTTTTTTTTTAGCCTAACAAGGTTTTAGCAATGTCATGCCAATGTCAGCTCCTAGGTCACACACGGAAGCGTGTGTTTGTTGGATCATTATCCCTGCATATGGTGCAGTTCACAAATGCCATGAACTGCTGGGCTCCTGTTACTGGTATGACAACATTTAGTCTTTTTAAATTTATATGTGTATGCTGATATTCAAGATGTATTTGCTTCTCCATGTATTTCTAGAACAACTGTATAGACTAACCTGTGGGGAGAGGCTGTTGCTCATGGTGGGGTTGACAGTGTTGGCGTGTCCTGTTGGGGCCACAAAGCTGTCCGAGTATCCCGAGAAACTGTGCCGTCCAGAAGACAGGCAGTACACAGAGCTTCCATCTTGGGAGCCTCCTGATGAGCTGAGCCCGCTCTGGTGCACCGAGGTGGGGGGCAGAGGCTGCGGTCGGTGGACTGTACTGGGCTGCTCGGATGCTGAGAAAAAAATCATTTCACTTCGATTAGCTTACAACCCCAAATCAGAAAAAGCTGGGACAGTATATAAAATCTAAATTAAAAGTGAAGATAGTGATGTGGAAATCATCAGTGTCCTGTAACACACTGAAAACAGTACAGCAGCACATTATTTGATGTGATACCTCATCAATTTTATTCTGTTCAAAACAAACACTCACTTCAACTCTGATGTCTGCAACACATTCCAAAAAACGTTGGGACAGTAAGGCATTTACCACGATGTGGTGTTACTGTTCCTTACCACAACACTTAAAAGACATTTAGGGACTGAGGACACCAAGTGATTAAATGTGTCAGGTGTCATTTTGTCCCATTCCTCCTGCAAACAAGTCTTAAGGTGCACAACAGTCCTGGTCTTCATTGACACAATATCCATTTCAAAATGCACCACGCATTCTCTACTGGGGACAGGTCAGGACTGCAGGCAGGCCAGTCCAGCACTCACACCCTTTGCTCTACAGCTATGCCTTGATAACGTGCAATATGAGGTTTTGTCTTGTCTTGTTGAAATATGTATGGGCGTCCCTGGAAAAGGATGTTGTCCTGAAGGCAGCATACGCTGATTTGCTGATTTGGGGTTGTGGATCAGGAGAGAGTTTGCTGCTCTTTTGAAATAATTTCAAATTCTGTGTTATAAAACTGCAACAGCATTACTCAATTGACATTCTCAAGCATACGCTGCCTTCAGGACGACATCCTTTTCCAGGGACGCCCATACATATTTCAACAAGACAAGACAAAACCTCATATTGCACGTTACCAAGGCATAGCTGTGGAGCAAAGGGTGTCGTCCTGAAGGCAGCGTATTCTGCTCCAAAATCTGTATATCTGTATAATCTGTGTATTTTTCAGCATTAATGGAGAAATCAGAAGTGGAGGTTACCTTTGCCAAGGGCACTGACACAACCCCAGACCATGACAGACCCTGGCTTCTGGCTGGTAACAGTTTGGATGGCACACGGTGCCCATTCCTTCCAAAAAAGACCCGAAAAACTGATTCTTCTGACCACAGTACACGTTTCCACTGTGTGATGGTCCATCCCAGATGCCTCCGAGCCCAAAGCTTTTGTGCTTCTAGACACTGTTGACATGGGACTTCCTTTTGGCACAGTACAGGTTTAAGCGGCATGTAACTACATATTGTAGTGCCTGACACGGGTGTGCCAAAGTAATCCTGGTTATATCGCTTATAGAAGATTCTTGATGCAGTGCCGTCTGAGGGATCGGAGAGCTTAGGCTTGTGTCCTATTCCTTCTGAAATCCCTCCAGATTCCTTGAATCTTTTAGACTGTGGAGTCTATACACCACAGAACTGTAGAGACATCCCAAATCCCTTCCTAGCCTTCTCTGAGGAACATTGTTTTTAAACGTTTCAATAATTTTCTCATACATACAGTATGTTGGCAAACTGGTGGTCCTCGCCCATCTTTGCTCCTAAAAGGCCAGGCCTTTCCTGGATGCTGCTTTTGTATCACATCAGATAACATGCTGCTGTATTGTTTTCAATATAATACAGGACACAAATGATTTACAAAACATTATTTTCATTTTTAATTTTTATATTACATAGTGTCCCAAATTTAGCTGATTTGGGGTTGTGGATCAGGAGAGAGTTTGCTGCTCTTTTGAAATAATTTCAAATTCTGTGTTATAAAACTGCAACAGCATTACTCAATTGACATTCTCAAGCATACATTTTAAGCATGTTCAGATGTGTTTAACTGTGCTCACCTTGAGATATGGAAGTCGGGGGATAGGGGCTGTCTGCCAGCTGATAGGGCTGCAGACCTGACATAGCTGACGGAGGGAATCCACCAGGGATGAGGTGGTTAAAGGCCATCAGCTGATTGGCTCCTGCTTGTTTCCTCCACCGGGCTCTTCTGTTGCTGAACCACACCTGAGAGAATTGAATAGCTTCACTTTTATTTGTGTGTGTGCTTGGTGCATATGAATATATCTGTGTGTGTAGGTGTCAAAAGCCGCTTTGATCCATTACAGGGAGCTAAGATTTTAACATATGGAGTGTGCTGTGAAACCACAGGCACTACATTTTTGTGTGCTACTGCCTGTCACTGCATGTGTTCAGATAGTGCCAGAGGGCTGTTACAGCTGTTAAAGCCTATATTAGCACATGATCTAAATCAGACATCTATTATGGGACCTTTAAACAGACCTTTTTGCAGAAGGTCTGACAAAAATAATAAGCTGTGTTCATACACAGTATGTCTGTCTGTGTTGTATGTATGGGACAAGGAGGTCAGGCATGGGGTCGGGGGTTATGTGGGGGAAACAGATATCTAATGCCTGTATGGAATGTGTGGCAAAGGCTCACGGCAATTTATCGCCTTCATGATACATATCAATGCCAGACCGACACATTGCTCTGCTGTCACGATGTCTGTGACTGTGTCGAACCTGAACTCGAGCCTCTGTCAGTTTGGCCCTCTGAGCCAGTTCCTCCCGTGTGTAGATGTCAGGGTAGTGCGTGCGCTCAAAGGCCCTCTCCAGTTCCTCCAGTTGCTCCGCTGTGAAGGTGGTCCGACTGCGCCGCTGCTTCCTCTTCAGCGGCAGGCCTGGCTCAGAGTCCACGTCAGAGCCCTCATCTGAGTGACTTGCTGGAATTGCAAAACAAACAGACTGGCACTTTAACAATCAGAGGTAATACAGAATGAAACTTGGGGTAAATAATAAGCTGAGCTACAATAGCCAGACCTGAAAGAATAGATTATGCTGAGTATAACACATAATACAGAGCCACTTTAGATTGTGTGCTCCTGCTCCCTTAAACTCCTCAGTGGTTCCCGGGGGGATCAAAAGCCAGAGGCTGCTTGAACATGGATTAAAGAGAAATAGATCCCTCCAGGGCATCTATTCCCTGCGACACTGTGTCTCTCCCTGTCTTAGCCATGCTGTGCGCTATGCCAGTAGGGTCCCATAGTGAAGAGCAGGCAGCCTTTTGCAGGTGCTTCTTAAGCTGTTTGTTCAGTTGAGGGCAGGAGAGAGCGACTGGGTAACTGAGAGACAGCCATTGGGATCTAATTCAGCAGAAGAAGGGAATCAATGAAGGCTTGAGACTAGAAACAGAAGACTATTGCTGCATTTCAGGGGGGAGGTTACCCATCTATTAAATAATGATTAGGCCCCACAAACTAGCGTGACAGCCTGTTATTGTCCACCATATACATGCCTGCAATCCCCCATCTTTTTCTCAGTCGCATGCACTCTCACAAACACGCATCTGCTGCGTCTGGGCTTTTGCTCAGTGAACCTAATGCATGACAATGTGTCAAACACAGATGCACACAAGACAGAAATCTACTACCAAATCCACCCCAGACTGACCTCTTAAAACCTCATGAGAAGGGTTCACCACACTTTTTTGACATTCAGACTCTGCAGCAAACACCTACGCTGAGAAAGAAGAAATAAGGGGACTCAAAAGCAGTGAAACAGGTGTAAGCAACAGAAAGGCTTCAGCAGAGGACAGAAGCTTGTCTGTTTCCACGGGCTGCTTATTCTCCTTCAACCCTCCAGATTTAAAGCTTTAATTAAAAAGTGCCAAGTCAGACATGAAGGGGGGTAGTAGGGATCTCCTCTTGCCTCTGGAGCCTCTGGAGCCAAGCAGGAAATGTTTGTGCCGGTTGCCAGTGTGTGTCTGACCAGGCATTACACACAGATTTGGTCCCTGGGAATGCTGCTGTGCTCCGGACAGCCGGCACACAAGATCCTGATGATGAGAAGAGCTTTTTATTACAGTTGAACTAAGGGCGCCACGCTGGCAAAAAGACTCACAGAGGACTGGCTGGATACTGGGATACTCCTGGAACATGCACCATGAGTTTGGGATGTGGTTTGTTTAAGGAAGGATGTGGCCTAAGACCAGTTGGAGCAGGCTGATGGAGAAGGAGCTACATAATATGAAAATAAAACATGATATTTTTCCTGCAAACACATTTTTAAACTTCAGCATTGTTTGGATTAGTAATTAAGAGCTTCCTTTAAGGAGCACATATACTGTATAACAGCTAAGTAACATGCAGTGTCATTACCATTTTAACGACAGGGGAACACAGAAAGAAAGAAAAAGACAGTGAACCAATGATGGCAGAAAAACGAAAAGATTCTTGAGGGAGGGAAAGCGAGCTCATAAAACTCCACAGAGGAGAAAGCTCCCTATTGGCACTGTAACTCATGTTAACTGCAGGGTGGGGGTGGATCTCTTTGCCCCCTTTATGTTTATCTTTCCCTCTTTTTTCTTCCTTGTTTTTATTATTATAAACTACGGAGAAGACTCTTCATCATAGCGTCACAGACTCTCCTTTAATGGCAATGACAGTGTTGCTTTTGTCATCCTCTGGCTTGCGCTTTCTCTATTGCTCTCTTCCTCTTTCACTCTCTGTCTTGTTTTTTGGAAGTGATGTGGCCAAGCCTTTGTATGTTAGCAGGGAAAAGCCTGTGGCAGGCCTCTATTGGACTGATTACCACGCTCCATCTGTAGGAGCCATCAGGGACGCCCGGGCCTGCATTCAGGGGCCTGTCACCTGCCCAGCAGGGGTGTTGGGGAGGGCGGTAGGGCCAGGGGCTGGGTAGGGGAATGAAGAGTGGGAGGGAGAAGAGGGGGCACAAAGGGGTCCAGAGAAGGGCCACTGGGGGCTGAGGAGGTACACAGCAGGGGAGCACTCCTTCATCCCCTCCCTCCATGGCCTGAGGGCCACAAAGTTGGGGGATGGGGTGTTGAAGGGGTTGCCATGGAGAGGAGATGGGAAGTTGAAGGCACCTGAAGAAGATGCTGGAGTAGGGGTGTGGGGTGCCAAGCTAACAAGAATGGGGGTGCTGGTCATTCTTAAAAGTAGGATCTGTTCCTTCCCCCTCATCCATTCATTTCACTTCACTCTTGTTCTGCGCTCGCCCGTTGCTGCGGCCACATCTCTGACAAACAAGGCTCTTATGCCGCTGTGGATCGATTTTTAAGGCACGCTGATGCAGAAGCAGATTTGTTCCCACATATTCACCCAAACAAACGGCAGAAGAGGATACTAAACACACAAAGGGAGGCCTCGACCTCCTTACTTAAACACCCAAATCAAATTTTACGCTGCAGCTAAAGCACTGGGGAGCTCAAAGTGCTCCATAGCTGCTCACAGTTTGGCTGTGGCTCTGACAAGAATCTTAATAGAAAGATAAATTATTATCCCTCAAGAGGAAATTGGGGGTTGCAGCAGAATGATCCATAAAACTGTTGTTTCGAAACACAGTAAGATACAGTTTAATAAACTAATAACAAACTGGTTTAGATAGGAGAATGTATAGTGGACCATTTATTGGAAATAGTTTACAGGATAGTATTTGGCTGTGTTTGACAGATAGTGCAGCATTCAACAGGTGAATTCAACAGGTCCCTTTCACTGATCACTGACTCCAGAAATTCAAGAAGTGCATTTACACAGACAGACATACATACACACACACACACACACACACTGAGCATGAAAAGATAGTGCTATATGTATGGACCCACCATTTAAGGTAAACTGACCCATTTATTGATCAAGTGAGGACACTGACAGACAGGGAAGATCAACTCCAGGGGGTCACAGATGTGAACTTGGGAACGTCCAGTTCCATTAGCTTCACCTGCAGCAGTAGTGCCTCTAACAAGCCAAAAAAAACCAAGTGACCAGTCCAACAGTGAGAAAAAAGGCTGCTCTTGTTTACTGTGTAGACTACATAAGCCAGGGCTCGCCTTGCCAACTATTCATCCCCCTCCCGCCTGCTCTAGAGATGCTAATATGAAGAGACATGCATAGGCGTGCACATTTATGTACTGTATGTGCACCTGTGTAGATAAATTCACATAGTAACTTGAAATGGCAAAAAACAAAGGGGGTGGGAAAAGACAAATAGATATTAAAGTGAGGAGAAGTAGAAATAAATTGGGAAGAAACTGAAGAGAAAGAAAGAAAGAAAGGAAAAGAGCGGAAGGGCCAGAGTGAGAAAGAAAAAGAGAAGTGGAACATATGGGGCAGTTTATAGCCTTGCATTGGTAGGGGCTGGCTAGCCCTTCCTCCAGGGGTAGTTAATAGAGAAGGTAATTGAGCTGGTGACATGTGTTCGCAATACAAAACAAAGGGCAGAAGAGACAAATGAACTAGTTATTTGCCCAAGGAAGTAGATTTGGCCCTTTCAGGCCACAGAGCATAGAGGAGTGGACCACTGAATAAAATAGTGGCTTGCCACATAGAGCCAGAGCGAGCAGATGCACTGGAGGAAAAGAATAGTTAAGTGACAGCTTATGGGCTCAGCTGGGGTTAACAGTTAAGGGAAAAATGGGAGTGAGTGGGCTGCTCACTTGACTTGCTAAAAAGCCCCCAGGAACCTGCAGCTGCCTCGGGGGGATAAATAAAAAGAAAAAGAGATGGAGATGATGATGTGATGAACAGAAAAAAAAAATGGAGTGCATGAGGTTGGTGCTTAATGGACAAAGAACTAGCTGGCGATATGACGTTGAAAGATGTATCTCTGTCTAACGTTGGTGAAGTGACACAAAGCCACAAATGGCCCTGCATGGCTATTATGTGTGCCCAGTGTGCGACAGTTATTATTTAGTTACACTGTGGCGTAGTTAGGTGACAGTTTCACGGTGGCGTGTCCACCCTCGGGGAAGGGACAAAGGGACTGCACAGAACCCACACGGGGCTGCAGCAACAGGCCACTCTGCTGCATGCTCTCGTCAAACCAGCGGAGATCCATTCCAGCCTGGCCTTGTTATGGCCAGACAGACAACCAAGCCACTTTGGTCTGAATAAACAGCACAGTCTTTTCAAATAAGAGCAAAATCTTTTTCAATGTAAAATAAAAATCATCTAAACAACACTGATTCTTTCGCATGGCATCTGGATATGAACGAGTCTGTCAGCTGTCATCGTTTCCCAAACATTATCATAACCTCCTCCCGTCTGTGGCCCGATAGTTTTAACAGTCCAGTGACCCAAGGTTAGCCCCTGACCTTTTCACAGCTTCTGCATAGCACTGCAGTGAAGACGGCCTCACTGCTCACCCTTAAGCAAAATACAAGACGCTCATCACAGAGAGAAGCCATTATCACATTCCACACTTAGTTTTTTTTAACCCCACAAGCAGTCATTAAACAGCTATTAAAAGATGTATTAATGAGTGTATCATAGTAATTCTTTAGGTATTATGAGTTGACATGCAGTTTCAACTTCTGTTGTTGTTGTTGTAATGCCAGTGTTTGCACAAATGCAGGAATGTGTGTGTGTATATATATATATATATATATATATGTATATATATATGTGCTGGCATGTCCATAATGCGCAATGTGCTGGATGAAACAGCTCCACAAAAACTGAGGCTAAACAAAGTTAAGTGATTGACAACGCTGTCTGGCTTTACTCAATTAACTATCCTATTGTGCTCCTCTTTGCAGAGACCCCTCGCCCCCGACCCTTTTCTCCTCACACTCCTTTATCCTCCCCATCACAGAGTTTTGCTCGGCTAATACTTCCAAGGAAATAGAGAGCTCTTTTTCTACTGGGGCTCCTCTCCTTGACCTTCTATTGCTTGTTGCTTCTCTTTCAGTCACTTCTCAGTGTCTCTGAGGTTAGTGGGGAGAATGTGGAGAGTACATCAGTGCCGAGGGGCCGGCTCAGGGCAGGACCCCGGTCCATTACTTCAAAGTTGGCCTGCATTCATTAATTGTCCTTTGAATTAATATTGGAGGATCACAATGTGGGTGCCAACAGAGAAAGAGGCTTTAATGAAGCATAGAGTCTGCATTCAGTTGCAGATCAGCCAGTGTGGATTTTTTCTTTCTTTTCTGGAAAGAGGGAACCTTGAGAATCATTCCAACAGCAAATGTCAAAGTGCTGAGTGTCTATCTATCTATCTAGTCAATTTTGGGTACTTTCCCCCAGCAGTTCTCTGGGCTAAACTAGCATTATGAGCACTATCGGCACAGGAAAACACAAAGTGAGGCCCACATATAAATTTCTCCATGATCCAGCCCTGAGAGGAAAATGGAAATGTGGCTGTAGCCGACATTCCTCTGGTTGCACTGAGGCCTTCTGTCTCCTGCGACCAGTCGAGACAATCTCTTCTAACCCTCCAATCTTTAACTCATTCATTGTCTAGCTCTATTTACAGCAGTGGGTTATTGCCGTGCTGCTCAGTTGCCTTTGCTCCCTGTGTGAGAGAGAAATGTATCTTTTATACGTATAATGTGTTCTTAGGAGTCTCATGAGAATATAAGTTATGAAACTTTAAAACTGAATTACATGGCTCAGATGTGACAGCTTCATGTGTAACTTGTTCATTTCTGAATGTATATAGCACATGTTTTGTCTTCTTTAAAGTACAGTATGCTCCAATGGTGAAAATATGATGTCTACTCATCTTACTCTCTGAATATTCCTCACACTAGATCCATGCCAAACTCATAGGGAGCTAGTAACCCAGTTTATTTACACAAACAAAGTCCTACTCAGCTGCTTTGACAAAAGCAGCTAAATCTTTCATGTTTTGTCAGCACTTGATTCCTTCTGTCCCTCTGGCTATTTGCCTGCCTCTGGACAATAGAGGCAGGAGAATGGCAGCAGATTGTTGGAATGCACCTCAATGAAACCAATTATTACATGTTGACTGCGTTCACCATAGCAGATTTGAAAGAACTGGGCTTATTCAATTTGGCACCGCAGGATTCCCTTTAAAGAAAAGTTATCCCTTTGACTGTTTGTATTTCTGAGCTTTCTTTTTCTTCCTTCTCCCTTTCACCCCCACTGCCATAAATGGGTCCTGCAAGACTGGCTCCTCTTTCATGACTTTGGTTACCTTAATTAGTTAAATGAGGCTAAAGTGCTAACAGTAATAAATAGAGGAAAGGATGCAATCAATTAATTTAGTCGCTTATGGCAAAACCTCATTCTTGGCACCTTTGGATGATTCACTTTTCCAAATAAAATGATATACCAACGATACATAGGGTTAGATACAGATTGCTTTATGGACAAATGTGATACATGGTACAATTTTTTTCAAAAACATCAAACTCAGCCATGGATGCCCTTCTGTATACTGGAGTAAACACAATCCATATAACAGTTAAAGGAGCTGTTGAGCCATTCCTCCAAACAACCCTTTCTCACAGTGTTCCAGCCACTTGTTAATGCCATGCAAACCCAGGGCTACCCAGTACACTTTATCCCTCAAACCTTAACAGTCCTTTTCCCAGACAAATAAATCTAAATGAGTCAGCTTTGATCTTAGCACTTAAGGAAAGCCAACAATAGTGGTAGAAGAGAAAGGGGCAGAGAGCAACAGGCCTCTCTCCGCCATAACAATGGCCTCTGCAAACACCTACTTAATCAATATTTGGCCAGAAGACACTCTCTCAATCCCCAAACCAGCCTTTCACATTCTAATGAAGTGCTATAAAAGGAAAAAGACAACAACCACTTCCACAAAAAGACACAGGACTGAAATAGGGCTGTGCTGTATGTCAATGGGGGGAAGTGCCTTGGAGCTCTTTGCATGTAGGATATGAATCATGCTAGTCAAAAAGTAGTAATTAAAGATTGAATTATATTTCCCCTCTTGTTATCTAAGACATGTTTCAAAGAGTCTTTAAAGTTTAGATTATTAAATAAAAATGATTGTAATAGGAGGATAAACAAATGTGGAAAAACAGATTAAAAAACAAGGCCATGTCCTGGTTTATTGATTGAAAGATCATTTCCAATTTGATTCGTCTGCTTTGCTAAAAGAAAATCAGAACTAGTTTACTTTGGGAAGTCAAACGCCTGATCAGTATTGGGGACGTAACCCCCCCCCGCCCCGAAAGAGGACAGGGAAGCTCCCACAGATATTGCATGAATGTGTGCGCCCTAGGCAGAAAGGAAAGGGGCGGACTTTGTCTGAGATGAAAGTGGAAAGAAATAAAAGGTTTGGATTTAATCTAGTGGAGAGAAGGGCTTCCCTGCGCTCACTGGCTGAAGGCGTCATGCTCACTGCGCAAAGACTGTGACAAAAGCTCTGTGCGCAAAAATAACAGCACCGTTCAATTTGATCACGCAAGACCTGATGTGAATTTAACACATTTCACTCAAATAAACAAGGAATAAATCTGCTCATCGTTACATAATACTGGCAAAAAAGTTTGGTCATCAATAATTAGCGATAGAAGGCATCGTGTCTCCAACAGCAACCTTTCCTCTTGGAGCAACACTCTTCAGTCCCCAACAGGTCATATATCAACAGGTGTTTGCCTGAAGTCTGGGCTGTGTTTTCCCCTTTACAGACAAACTGTAAAGACTGGGAGACGTCCCATATTGGCACTTTTGGAGCAGTCTATAAACTAGGTCGCCTATTGGTGTCCCTGAATAATTCATCGCTCATTGCGGGTTCATAATGTCTTCTCCGGGCCTTTTGTCAGCGCAGTTTCGTCTCCCTTTCTTTCCCCATTTTGAAAGGCCCGGGCGTCTTTTTGTACACCACTGAGCCGCTCACTGGACTTTAGCTTTTGTGTGCGTCAAACTGAGGTGTGAGTCTCAATGGACTCTCCCTGCTTTGTCCCCTGAAGTTCACCCTCAACTGTCCAAGTGTTAAAAATGCCCCTCAGGCTTGAAGGTTAGACAAATATTTCATTATCCACTTTTTAAAAAAACATTTACTACGAATTTGTCAAGTCTAAGAAGCCTAAGCGCATGCGTGAACATCTGAGCCTGAATATTAAAAAATAGTTCCCTTTGTATTATTATTATTATTATTATTATTATTATTATTATTATTATTATTATTATTATTATTATGCGTGTTCTGTCTAAAAGTCAAATTAGTCGATTTAAAAAGCCATGGATTGTACCTGTTACACTTCACGGCTTACTGCTGTCACAGCGCAAAACTACAGAAAGTATCACTTGCATCCAAAATTAACCCAGAGCAAAAACATTTCCACAACCAGATCACAATATTCTCGTTCAGTTAGTTTGCCACATTTTCTGCCGTAACATCATAAATGACGCACTTACATCTGTCTCCCAGAATGCCATCAATGCTGTGTTTTGTCCGTGGTTCGTTTTCCTCCATCTCCCTTTTCACCACTTCATCATCATCCTCTTCATCCTCACCAACTCCGCCGAATTTAGAGCGCATGATGCGGCTGATGGCGCTCACTGAGAACAAACAAAGAGAAACTGTTACAAAAATGCAATCCTATATGTTAAGCTTTGACAAAACAGGTTAAAACCATGCTTTCTACTAAATACCGTGTTTAGTTTGTCTAAGTAAGTTTTTAGGGTATATGTGTCAATCGCGTTCACCTCCTTCCTGGTGATTCATTCCATTTCAGACCCTCGCCTACCTGAAGGGACGTTGTTCCTGTCGCAGATCCCATCTTTCAGTAATTTGTCCCTGATTTCCCAGCTGAACATGCCCGGGTTTTCTCTCTTGTACTCCTCGATTTTCTTGTCCACCTCTGGAGAAGCGGTTTGCTTTGGTGGGAAAAATGAGAGAAGAGCAGTTTGTCACGTTTTAGATTCGAGGCCTACATTAGGCGAAAGATGAATTGTTTGCTGATTTTAAGATTTTAAATGGTTATGCAACTACAACACAAAGGTTAAAAAAGTTATTTGGCTTAAAAGAGCACAGAAAGTCAAACTCCATTAAATTTTATTAGCTCTTTAATTTTAAATGTTCTAACCGTTTTTTCGGCAAAGGTCCCGCTGCACTACATGACTTTGGATCAACTGTGATTTGTTTTTAATTACACAAACAAATAAAAATAGACTTATAAATTAGGCCTACTGTGTTTTACATCCAAACGAGGTTATGCAATTTTCAATTAGCCTACATTTTACTCGTTATAGGCAATAGGGAACGGGATGCCTCATAGACCACAGAGGATTTTAAATGTTAACTTAATTATTTTCTGAATTTATGATCGTTTTCATATTTTTGCCACAGTTTACCACAACATCTCCGGCCGTTCCTCTCACCTTTGGCTTGCTGCCTCCAATGGCCCCGGGCCTGATGGAGCCTGTCTCCTGGTACCGGCAGAGGATTTTGGAGACGCAGCCGTGGGACACCCGCAGCTGACGGGAGATAACGCACGGCCGGATTCCGTGATGGGCCATCTCCACGATTTTATGGCGGATATGGTTGGGGAGAGGTCTGCCGTTTATAAAGACACCACCGAGCTGGTTGACCCGACCCTGTCCTAACGGAGTAGAGACTGGACAGTAGTGCAAAGGGTTAATTTATAATACTCATCACTTAAACCAAATGTTTTTGTTTATAATGGCATAAATAGCTTGTGCAGTTAAACCTTGACAGTGGAAACTAATTTAGAAAAGTCTTTACTCCACTGTACAGTTGTCTATATAAACAGGACATATATTTTCCAATAATCTGAAATCTCATCCTGAAACCAGCAACAAAACACCTGCCAGTTGCGTGGACAGGCAATTTGCCTAATGTTCTTTACCAGCAAGAAAATCAGAAACCTAGAAATAGGTTATAAAAATATTACAATGTGGTAAAGTGAGACGTGTAGGATGCACCATATAAAATACAAACACCCCAAATAAGTTCTATTTCAATTTAAAACGCACGGCCATTTGGCGCTGGAAATGTGGACTTAACCATTTACACATTTTGTTTTATAAATTTGCATTTAAAACAATATGAAATGAGTCGTTGATAATACTGTTTCTGCGGGTTTACAGCACACTTCGGGCCGAGCTTGACAGCTCTGCTCCGGTTTTCTAAAAGCTGACTTTTTAGGTTGTGAGCAGCGACGGGTGGCGGTCTCTTACCCTCCAGAGAGTACCCTCCCCGCGGGTAGGTCTGGTGAGGACTTGGTCTCATCATTCTCGGTAAACCTCCTGCAAGCGCCGTCATGATTCCTGACTTTCTGTCAGGTAAGGCTTCAAACTGAGCTGCCTTCTCCTGTAATTCTACAAACTCTCTTTTATTTGCTGTAATATTTCGCCTTCTCTGCGATCGCGATGCAGCCGCCTGTTCCTTGAGCAACAGGTTGCCTCGACAAAAAAAGACGCTGACTCCCTCAAAAGTGATGTTGACTGGTATCCAGTGGTCGACGTGGGCTGAGGTGAGAGTTTATATCAACGGGTAGGTTCCTACCGATCCTATGAGGACTGGGGAAATGGTTTGAAGGGATGGATGGAAGTCAAACATTTTATCCGCGGTCCTGTTCCCTCTGACTCCGCGCTGTGCTTCCTGATTGGTCAAAGACCCGGACGTTCAGCAGCCGGAGGAGACTTGTGATTGGACAGCAGAAACTCCCTTGTGTCTGGATTGACCTTTTGAGGTCAGTTTGTAGTGTCGCTAGTTTCAAACTTTCCATATAGTGCTTAACATTTAATAAGAACTTACTGAATAAAGATCATTTCTACCTGCTTTCCTGTGCTGAGATGCTCCTCATGTTCAAGGCGAGGACTCAGGACACTGGTAGGATTGTAGCAGAGCAAAATCTGATGATGTAACTGGATTAGCGACCAGAGCAGGTTGATTATACACAGGACCAGAGAGAAAAGGAATTATTTATAAACAGGCTAGTTTGATATAGTTGTTATTTATACTATTGTTGTTATCAATATATAAACATTTACTTTAAAAATGACAAATGAATGAAATAAAAATGTGTATTATTGCTATTATTACTAGCAAATTTTTGGTTTAACCTTTATTTTACCAGTGAACTCCCATTGACATTTAAAACATCTTTTCCTATAGATCTGCCGTTACAAGGTTACAGACAAAATGAAAGCTTATAATACACAACAACACAAGTCAAGAATAAACAGCAATGACAAAAATTTGTGTGAAGTTAGAAAAATAAACTATACGCGTGGAGATTTCATTATAGAGTGGAGAGAAGGCATGTTCACTTGTTAATGTGTGGTGGAACTCCAGGGCTCTATGTGCACTCACTTTTGCACAGAAAAGAAGCAGCAGGTGGGATAATGTCCATCACAGAGTGATGTTTTAATTGCTCAGTGAAACTGGACTGAGCCTATTACAAAGACAATAGATAATTATTGTAGAGGCCCGTATTAACAATACATATAGAATAAATTCAGATTCTTTACTAAACAAAAAAGATCACTTCCACAGCACAAAAATACTCTGTTAGAAGTAAAAGTCCTGCATTCAAAATGTTACTTAGTAAAAGGAACTACTGGGTAGATTGTGAATTTCCAACCAGGTAGAATATGATTATAATTATTCTGAAAAGTAACTAGTAACAAAAGTACCAAATAAATGTAGGGGCACAAAGTACAAAATGTAGTTTTGAATTGTGAAATAGCAGAAAATAAAAATAAAAAGATTTTTTAAAGTCTTTTTTTAATAGAATATACATATTTATTAATTTATTTTAGAGGCTGAAAAATAAAACTGGGCAGTAAAAACCTAACACGTTTGCATGATGTCATTTTTACATTAATAAACAAAAGTGTTGATGAAAATAGGTCTATTAACGGCAAAGAGCGCTCAGACAATGGAGGTCAGGAGAGAAATATGGAGGGGATGTGGGGTGTTCTCAGCGTGCAGAACAGGATCTATTTGTCCCAGCACACCCCACGCAAAAAAAGCTCTGTATGGTCATCTAATAGCTGCACCAACTTAACAATAGGTAGTGCACGGACCTGAGGTTGAGCCCCATGACAGTGAAACTCATCTCTGTAAATGGCCGATTACAGACACACAAAACCGCATTTGAGCTTTCTGAGGAGTTGTGATAATTATCATAATTAGGTGTGTTTAGCAGACAAATATACTTTCCAATTTGACCTCAGGAACAAGACCATATGCCAGCTGATTCTGTTTAGAGACCTCCTCAACCTGCAGGCCATGAACAACTTGGTGGTCAGGACCTGTGTAAGGTGAACTGACACGCCACCAGGGCTGGCATCCTGGCAAGGATTTAATTTATCATCATCAGAATCATCAGTATTTGTTGTGTTATTGTCTAATTATAGCAAAGAAAAGTAGAACAGTAACCAGCAGTAGAGCAACTGATGGTTAGACTGGTGTGACTTTTTTATTTTTTATTTTGGTTATCTATGCTTTTTGCTATATAAAGACCAGATAATATTGGCGCTAAAGAAAAATTAAGATGACAATCCCACTCCCAGCTCTACAGTCCCTTCATTGCAGTGTCCCACAGAACGTGGCCGGGTATATTTTTATTCCTCCTATAGGGTTGTAAAAAAAATGAAGCGGTGGACATCGAACACGGGGAAACATTATATGTCTATAAAAGAAGGAAGGGGAGAGAGTTATCATACTAAAGTCATGAAAAGGATATTGGCTCTACCATGTCAAATCAATTACAGGGTAATCTGAGTCAGAAATGTGCTGTGGCTGTGGACAAAATGCATCCAAAATACAGAACAAAATAGCCCCAAAAAGAAAAAAAGAGTGTGTTGCATTTTCCAGGCACAAGGACAGACCCAGGGGCTTTTAAGGCTGTATTTCTGAAACCGTACACATTAAAATAAAATATAATAATTTGCTCTACCCCTCAATAAAGTTAGCTTAACAGCCTGATAACCTATAGGCATGGTTTGAACTTACTGTGGCCCTATAAGGTCCTATACTTTGTCAGACTAAGGCCTGTTTTGACTACTGGAAGAAAAATCTTAATTCTCCCCAGAGCAACTTACAAAACGGCTCTATAGTCATCATTAGCATGACAGCATAAGATCAGATATAGACAGACGTTTGTAGGCAATGAAATTGATTATCTGACCATAAGCTATAGAAATAACAAGCCTCAGCTTATTCTCAGAATTAAAACTAGTCAGTCGTGCATTCTTTATACTGTAAAATGTACATTGTGTATACTGTACTGTAGCAGAGAATGGTAGAACTAGTTTACCACAACAATAAAGACCTTAAGCTAATAACCCTAATTTGCAGTATTCGCTGGGTTTATACAGCAGTATTAGCATTTTAAAATAACAATCAGCTGTGTTTATTCTTAGGCTTTAGAGAACTGTACAACTGCTGTGAAGGACTTTGGAATAATATTAGTTTTTATCCTGTTGTCACCTGGAGAGGAGCGGCCTTCGGATCACTAAGTCCTTTCTGAACACAGGTTTGAAAATTGTAAGCAATACTGTTTCTTATGTGCAGATAGTTTTTAAATAAAGAGGAGGCCTATGTTGAAATAATTTCTTCGTTCTTTTCCATTTATTATTCTTGTGTGAATGCTTTACAGAAGATTAATGTAGTAAACCATAATGCATCAGGTTACCACTGGATAGAGGTTATAAATGACTGGGAAGTATGTTATTAATAATGTCCATCAAAAAAATAACTCAAATCAAATCAAATCAAATTTTATTTGTATAGCGCCAAATCACAACAAAAGTCATCTCAGGACACTTTACAAAGTAAGGTCTAGACTTTACTATTGTCACTATTATTACAGAGGGAAACCCAACAAATTGAGCAAAGCACTTGGCGACAGTGGGGAGGAAAAACTCCCTCTAACAGAAGAAACCTCTGACAAACCCCGGCTCTTGGTGGGCGGCCTTCTGCCTTGACCGGTTGGGGTGAGTGGATAGAGGAGACAAAGGAAGAAAAGCGACAAGACACAACAAATAATCAAACACTGGTCAGGTCGATGTGGTCGGTGACTGCTCATCAGAAACATAGAGCTGACTGGGCTGATTTTATTTTTGTTTGTGATCTAGCATCAGTTATGTTTTTCTTTATTAACCTTAAACAATTCAGAAACAATAAATCAAAAGTGTTTTCCATCACAAAGACCATAGAGTGGAAATTATTTGAAACAGAAAAAACACATTAGAAGAATTTTCAGAAGGAGGAAATCCACTCTGTGATTATTTTCCTGTTACAAGGTGCATCCAAAAGAGGCACTGTTTTTCTGATGGGTTTCATCTGATCATTATATGTGACTCACAACACTTCTCACACAAAGTGCACTTATCATAACACAGGCCCAAGTGCACCCAGGTGAGTGAGAGAAGAGAAAGAGAGATGACGGTTTCTGAGCATACGGTGTTAATGGAATGGTTCAGCTAATGAGAAATTAAAACAGTGCGTTAGTTTATGTTCCCATGATGTATTTGCAATGTCATCTCCAGCGATACTCTGGTGCTCTGCTGAAAATTATTGAGATTTGCAGGTTTTCAAGTACATTTATCAAGGATCATATATTCTGTGTCCATAGTGTGTATTTTATAAAACATATATAGGCGGGGACATAATAAAAAAGATTTCACGTTGCATACTTCTTGGACCTGAGTTCAAAAGATTTCAAGTTTAAATGTCTTAGCATCTTTTTTCAGTTTCCAAAGATTTTGATCCATATTTGGTGACATTTGAATACTTGTATTTTACTTATGGACTGTACAGATTTGTAAAGTAAAACAACGATAATCTGTAATTCCATATTTAGCATCAAGTACTTTATTGTGATTGCTCTGTCCTCTTTGTCACTGACTGTCTTTTCACATTGCCAAAACCTAATGCAACAAGTAGCTCCAAAAACGTTTTTAATCCAATTCCTTTGTTTTTGGATGTAACTGCAGCTACCTATAATCCAGTTAGACACAATATGCTCGTACTCCTACAATCCGCATATTTATCAGAATAGAGGAATAGCAATCACTGTACAAACACGCATACGTTTAGCCACAAGAGGGCGTCTGTGAAACAAATCCCACCAAGATCTTATAAACGGACTTTTTTGGTGTTTTTGTCCAATCAAGAGTGAAGACAGGATGTCATTACAGCCTGTAGCCAGTGTCATCAAACCCAAACCATGGAACACTTTCTGTATAGAAGACAGGTTTTAAATTCTCAGCAGTTAATCAAAAGGAGAGGATTGGAGAAAGGTGTCACCCTACCTGACCAACATTTGACACCCTGTTGGACTGATTTTTCCAACAGAGGAACCAGTCTCTTCTGTTTTAACAAGAATATACTGCAGTACATATTTTAAAGCAAAAAACGCCACACTCAGGTGTAGTGGTTTATCTATTGTATATAGAAACGCCATACTCTGGTGTAGTGGTTTATCTATTGTATATAGATGCTGCACATTTTGTCCAAATATTCTTGACTACAGACATTAAACAACTATGTCCAACAATGTCATACGTCTGACTTGCCTAGGGAGCCAGGGGCCTATGTATTTG